AAACTAATTATTACCTGTATCAGCTTTCTTTTACGAAGAAAACGAGATTTGTTAAATAAAAACATTCATTATTATGACCATTTCTAACAGCGTTTGTTTAACTGCACTTTTTGCTCGTAATGCATTTTACGCGCAACTTTCTCTTTGTGCTGCTGCCATCTTCGATGTGGCTGCTATTTATTTCGCCCACCTTCTTGGTGTAATTTCGGTGTTCTTTAAACACCACGAAATCACCAGCAAATATATTCTTTACCCTGGATTTATTTATCTTTTAAGTGACGGGCTCGTAATTAGTGCTTAGTGATCATAGTCAATCTCGACTCGATCACCACTAAAGACTAATGAACCAATACTGATTTTAAAAACGTTGCATCAAGTAATATTATGAAAAAGTGTGTTAATTTCAAGATACGAGATATTTAGTAATAAAAAACAATAATTCGACCGAGTTTGTATGTTTTCTTTCGTTTTCGGAGAGTGGATTCACCTATATGACTGTTCATTTATCGTACAAACTCATATTTCTTGTAATCAGTCCCCGATTTTAGCTCATTTTCTTCACCAGATCTACTCAGGGAAAATGGGGTTACTATGAAAAAAAACTGAAATGGGAGTGCACAGGTAATCATTTAACTCCGCCAGTAGAACCTTAGGGGCTACTGCCGGTCCCAAGCCCGGATAAAGGAGGAGGGTTGGACATGGGGTTGGCGACCCCATTCCGTTGAAATCTCACTTGCCAAAAAGCGCTAACCAGAAAAAATAATTCAAACCATTTTAACTCTGCCCTGGGAGTTGGAAGAAGAATTATGACGTCGCGTGATGAAAGCCGAGTTCCCTCGGAAGTCACGGGGCCGATGCCTCTTCTGACAACCAGAGCAACCACTCTTTTAAGTACATGGAACGTTCGTACATTGTGGGAGACTGGAAGACTATTTCAAGTTGCGGCAGAAATGAAAAGATACAACCTCGAGGTGCTCGGCATCAGTGAAACACATTGGACACAAGTAGGACAACTGACACTTGCTTCAGGGGAACTGAGATTGAAGCTAAAGAAGCACTGGACAACGGAGCAGACAACATCACACAAGTTTAATACGGCCTTTCTTCGGGATACCGAATTCAAGATAGCCCTCACCAATAGGTTCCAGGCCTTTCAGGATCTACTCAATGGAGAGGAAGCAACATTGGAGAACAATTGGAAAGGGATTAAGGAGGCAATCACTTCAACATGTCAGGAGGTCCTTGGTCGCAAGAAGCACCATCACAAGGAATGGATCTCTGTTGGTACTCTTGAAAAAATTCAAGAAAGGAGGAACAAGAAGGCAGCTATCAATGTCTGCCGAACAAGAGCAGAGAAAGTTAAGGCGCAAGCCGAGTATACAGAAGCAAACAGGGAAGTGAAGAAGAGCATCAGAGCTGACAAACGAAAATATGTGGATTATCTAGCAATGACGGCGGAAAAGGCTGCAAGAGAAGGAAACTTGAGACAATTGTACGAAACTACAAAGAAGCTCGCCGGAAACTATCGTAAACCAGAACGACCAGTGAAAAGCAAGGAAGGGAAAATAATCAGCAACACTGACGAACAGCATTCGATAGCGTGGATAGGAAAACACTGTGGAGGCTTCTTCGACACTACGGTGTGCCTGAGAAAATAGTCAACATCATACGGAATTCTTATGATGGATTCAACTGCAAAATCGTACACGGAGGTCAGCTGACAGACTCTTTTGAGGTGAAGACCGGTGTCAGGCAAGGTTGCTTACTCTCACCCTTTCTCTTTCTCCTGGTCATCGACTGGATTATGAAGACGTCAACATCTGGAGGTAAGCACGGTATCAACTGGACAGTTAGGACGCAGCTGGACGATCTGGACTTCGCAGATGACCTGGCTCTTCTATCGCACACTCAACAACAAATGCAAGAGAAGACGACCAGTGTAGCAGCAGCCTCTGCAGCAGTAGGTCTCAACATACTGTATGGAGCGGAAACATGGAGAACTACCAAAGCCATCATCCAGAAGATACAAGTGTTTATTAACAGTTGTCTACGCAAAATACTTCGTATTCGTTGGCCAGACACCATCAGCAACAACGAACTGTGGGAGAGAACAAGTCAGATTCCAATGGAGGAGGAAATCAGGAAGAAGCGGTGGAAATGGATAGGACATACACTACGAAAAGCACCAAACTGCGTCACTAGACAAGCCCTCACATGGAACCCTCAAGGCAAAAGGAAAAGAGGAAGGCCAAGGAACACACTACGCCGAGAAATAGAGAAAGATATGAGAGGAATGAACAAACATTGGACAGAACTGGAGAGGGAAGCCCAGGACAGAGTTGGTTGGAGAAAACTGGTGGGCGGCCTATGCTCCATTGGGGGTAACAGGCGAAAGTAAAGTAAAGTAAAAAGGTAATAATAATAATAATAATAATAATAATTTATTCTCAAATAACAATCATTTCCAAATTTCACAAGAATTACCATCTAAAGGAATGGATATCTGGTGATAATCTCGATAAGATTGGAGCTGAAAATAAACCAATAAGGAATCGACCATTAGTACTAGACATATAAATAATTCACTCAGGATTTTGGACGAATATCCTGACAATAATGATGAAGGCACTATGATATGATGCTCAGTGATTTTTCATTTCTGGTTTTTTATTTCTACTTTTTTAACACCATTGCTCAATAAGTTACGAGTGAGCTCTTTCTCAGCATGATTGTCCAGACCCACTTGTAATGGGATTTCTTGGTTGGAAAAGAAGCCAACACAAAGTTACGAACGCGGTTGACTTAATAAAGGAACATCAATATCATTGATTAGTTACATACTGCTAGAAGGATGCTGTGATGACTGTGGGTCCATGAGATATCCAACCTATCGGTGTCTGTGTCCAATGCGTTTCACTGATTCCAAGCAACTCCGATCTGAATCTTTTCATCACTGTAATAATCTGGAAAAGTTTTCCGCTCTCCCACACTGTTCGGACACTCCTTGTACCTATAAGAATGGTTGCTCTGGTTGTCATCAGTCTCGTAGCTTTCGAAGGAACTCGGCTTTCATCATGAAACGTCATAACTCTTCTGAATAGAGACCTTCTGACTCGCAAATTAGGGTTAAAATGGTCTTAATTATATTTTCTTGTCAGCGTATTTTGGCAGTTTAGTTTTCTACGGTATGAGGCAGGCAACCCACAAGCCCAACCCTCTTCGTTATATACGGGCTTGGGACTGGCAGTAATCAAACAGGATGTCAAAAACGAGGGGTCAAATATTATTTTATAGATTTTAAGCTCTCACCTGAATATACCTGAACGCCTAACGAACTGAAAGATATATGCTGTGTATTGATTAGTAGGTTTTTTATCAGTCGAAAGCACCAGAGGGGTTTTGGGGAAAGATGCTTTTATCTTTCTCCGTAGTCGAGAGTATGACTGCATCCTAGCAGTTGCAATGTGAAGCTTCTTTGTTCATTTTCTACTCGTATCGTGTTTATGATATTTACGTTTGAAAAAATAAGCCAGCTGTATTTAAAAGAGGTCATTGTACATATACTGAAGAGAGTGGGCTTAACCTGATTGGTCAGGAAGTTCTTATTTATAAACCTCATAAGCCTCGTATATATAGAGATAATAGAAGAGGCATGTTCTCCAAATTTTAGGCTTCGTGAGAAAAAAGTACCCAGAAGTGTCTGAACGGTATTTCATGGTCGCGTTTACTAAAATGTACGAGGCCACATTTGTTGCCGCCCCAGTTAGATAGTACGACAAGGTAACTCTGAATTCTAGCTACAGTTCCGTTCAGGTCTTCAGATAATAGCTGCATTATATCTGGAGATCATCCGCATATAGGGGCAACCTTCCAAATTTCATAGTTTCACATACACCGTTTATGTACATAAGAAATAAGAGTGGACCCAATCAACTTCAGCGAATATCTCTCAGTAATGAAAGGCAATAGTTGTACATTACCATTTGCTTGAGTCCATTTAGGAATGAAACTTAGCGCGAATATAATGGGTTACTGATTCGAAATGACTTTAGTTTAAGGAGAAGCTTTTTGTGTGGACCCTAGCAAGAGCTATTTTAAAGTCAAAGAATAAGACTGATACTAAAATGAAATTGTCTCACTTCTGAGTTAAATCATTGCGACAGTCCAGTAGTTATGCGTCATATGACCTGGACCTCAAGAACTCGTGTTGTGAAGTTGGTGTGACACTGTTAATAAGATCAAGTGGATAGGTTTCATAAAGTGCAACACTACGGATCGTTTTTGAACTGTCAACCATTAACATACTTCAGCTGTCTTCACCTCCAGAAAGTAGTTAACAGCGTGGTGAGAACGGGATTACAGAAATCACTTTGATGCTATAGCGTAGTTGGGAAAATTGACAGTATGCCGCCATCTCGAGGACGACATCGCAAAAATGGATGTTTTTTACGACTACTTGCCCCCATCTTTCCTCTTTCTTCTCGTAGTTGATCGGATAATGACTGCTACAAAATCTCGCGGAAACACAGAATATCACAACTCTCCTAGTATGAAGCTCAACATTTTGGACATCACAGATGACCCAGCCCTTCTGTTTCACACAGAGCTGTAAACCAGGTTGAAGACAGCCTCTATAGCAATCTGTCTCGATATAGAAGAGGAAAAAAATAAGATTTTTAAATGAAATACAACACGCAATACCCACAATACACTTGATGAAGAAGCTCTGGTAAAATTTGAACGTTAACATTTTTATTACTTTTCTCGGCTTATAGAAACAAACAAGTCAGCTTTATCTGCTAGAGTCATTATTTAATCGCCCACCGAACCTTCCTATTTTTCGCGAGTTTCCTGAGAGGTTTTCATTGAAGTGGTTTGTGCATGGTTACTTTGCTTACTGCATGTCTTTCCCTCTCCTCTCTCTCTCTCTCTCTCTCTCTCTCTCTATATATATATATATATATATATATATATATATATATATATATTTATACATATTTATGGTCACAGTAATCTATTTCAAAGCGTTTAGATCATATGTAGAAGTCGTTATTATAAACGTGCAGGATAAAAACGTGCTAAGCAAAACCACAAATTTAAGCCCTTATGATAAATTAGAATACTTTGATCGATGTAGAAGAGAAAGTATTCTTTGTTTTACTACGTCAAAGTCAAAAGCAACACTATCACATGTGCCCGGCATATTTGGCTTACGTGGGGAAATGTGTATGTTAATATGATTTCGTAAAGTTATGTCTTAGATCACGTGCTAATTCCGCTTGTATCAACTCTTATTTTTTAAAAGAGCGTCACCTTCCTGTACCGTGTGTATTTTTACTTTAGAAAAACCTTTGAAACTAATACCCAAAACTTGTATGTTTGTTCTTCTCGAGACAGTCAGTATATCAGGTAGAATTCTCTACTAGTACTGATTCGACCATTAAACGTCGGCTCATATAGCATTCATACGTTTTAAGCTTATTTGGTTCTTAGTTTGGTCTATAATGTGTTCAGGCAAGTTAGTCATTAAGTATGTGGTGAATGTTTCGCGAGTGTGTTAACAATCGCAAACTCATACCTCAGTAGATGCAATCAGTCAGTCTCTACTAACTTTTCTATTCCAATGATTCAGTTTCATCCCCACGTTCTTTGGTGGCTCCTCGATGTGATCCTCTGTTGTTTCTCATCCAAATTTTCCAGGATTACGATCATCATGTTTCTGGAGATTATTGGTTTGGGGCTCTTGCTTCCAGCCAGCTGTCCGCATTTCCGATGTGTACCATACCTACTTCGATTTCAGGAACTAGTTTATAGCACCAAACCTGAAACTCGGTGTATAACCATATTCTTCGAAAGTGATCTGTGTTGTCTAAGTAGATTTCGTGTTCAACAAACTCATTAGTAATAATTATTTCACGTTCACTCCTTAGAATACATAAGTTTCAGTCCATTTTCATAAGTCAGTAAATTCCTAATGGTGAGTGATTGAAACTACCGGTTAAATGTGCTTTATCTATTGTGTTTGATCCCCAGTTATTTTTGCCTCACGGCTCCTACCACCTATTAACGTCTTCAAACTTGGTTAGGAGATAGGCTACCTAGCTTACGCCGCTAGCCAATCACTAAGTAAATGTTCCACTGTCCTCAGCCAATATAAATCCATAGCTCTAAATAGTAACCTTTTTTAAGACTGCGCCCAGTCTTCTCCGTTCTACCCCGGTGTTGTTGGTTCGCTTTTCGATTGGATATATTCAATATATGGTTTTTAGATTCTGTAAAGTTATAAAAAATTATGTAGATGAGTTAGTGGTAGCTCTTGTTAGGACAAACTTCTCGGTCAGCTAAGTAACAGTCAAAAGAACTAAACGATACAATAAATCGCTTACTCTACGCATGGTCATTTATCTTTCTGCCGTTTTAAGCAAAATATGACAAAATCTTTTTGCATTACCACAAGTTAACATGACAATATTTATAATAGTTATGTAATATTTTAGCTGAATGGGACCGTTGGGTTATAACGACTGATGACAGGGTTAGACATGATGCTCAGTTCCAGTTCCTCAAACCAGTTGGTGGTTATATAACTGGTAAGTCTCCTATTCATTTGTAGATAGACTTGATTCACAAGGTGAACAAGCAAGAGTTTTCTTTATGAAGTCAGGTTTATCAGTTATGGTTCTGGGGCAGATATGGTGTGTTAAATTGTTTAAGTTTAATGAATAATATTTTTAGGGCTCTTGCAGATATGGATATGGATGGGAAAATGGACAAGAAAGAGTTTTCAATAGCTATGTTTCTTATCAAAAAAGCACTAGAAGGCTTACCTTTACCTTCTGCTTTGCCTCCAGGCCTCAAGAATGATCCTCAACCCGCATTTATTACATCAGGTGTTACACTCGCGTTAGGTTTAGTGAGTGATGCAGGTAACAGTATATTTTATCCACTTTTCATCAGTTTATTTATAAAAAAAACTGTCCAAGTTAAGTTCTCAGTTGTCATAAACTACTTACCTTTCAACTGATCAAGGTTTATACAGATACTGATTGTCCCTAGAGTTTTTTATATTTAAAATCATAATATGTCAAGCAAATCCTCAGTAATCTACAAGTTTACTTCAAATTAAATAAGTGACTGGTATTTCGCCTAATTAAATTATGCATATGCACCCTTGTATTCATTTTCCTGTTTTATTTACTTTTAGTAAAATTATTCAGTCGCCAGTATTATTAGGTATAGCCTAATCGCTATTCCACGATGACAGTTTATTAGAATGTGCTGTTTGGTTTTGCATGTTTGCTATGTACTTGTCATAAACGAAGGCAGCAAATGTAAACCCCAAATAGGCTGTAATTACGCATTTTTGATGACCATAATTGTTCGATTACTCAGTTTCAGTAATATGTTCATAAATGGGTCAGTACATTGTCATTACTACTTAGTTCTAATCTGCAGTGGTCGATTAAGTGCGCTTATCATATTTCTTAACACAAATGCTGAGCTAATTTTCGTGCAAGCTGTATTTTCCGCGCTGAGAATTACACTTGACCTTCTAATACTCTTATCCACGATAAAAAGACCCATCAAAATTTATTTCTGCAATTAGATTTTGTCATAATGTAGTTATTATCAAGTATACACATTCTTCACCAGTATATCTCAACTTCTAGGGTTCACGATCCAAAACCTGAACAGTAAAGTAGATTAGTGTTGGTCTTAGAGATCTGGGGGCGTGACCTCAGATCCCAAAGGAAAACTGCTCGAGGCAGGTCACGCACGACGTTTTATGAGACGTTTTTGAAGTGTTAGCTCCGCTCTTGTTTAAAAGGCCTTACCTTCGGAGACTGAAATCCGTGAAGTAAGCTGTGTGACATTTTTAGGGTCGACCTTTTCCAACCCCTTCCTAGTGAGAAGGCAGTATCGCTGCAGATGCTGGCTGTCCGAGGGAAGCGCCTTACTGCTGTCACACCCCTCTGCAGTCAGCAGTACGACTTCGCCCTCAGACCTTGGGTAGCTGCTTTTAGTCTCATCGTTCTCCAATCGACCTGCCTGGCATGGTAGAACCTTCAGCAGCATATGTTGCAGCCAATATAGCTTGGTTGGATGATCACGATAGGCAAGCCCGACCACCACGACTAGGTAGCAGCTATGGTCGCGGATCCCAAACACTTTCTCAACTATATATTGTTAGTCCATTCGAAATAAGATTCATTAACATTCAGTGTCCAGATTTTTCATCAAAATATCAGTAATCCTAAGGTTATTTAAAATGTCTTGTAAATTTTTGGTTCTTTTCTGTGTAACGGTACATACTACAACAACTAGAAATAAAAAATATGTACAAAATGAAGATATACTCTTATTCCGTGAAAATATATACCTTTAGTATGTTTATAGTAATCTACCATTCTTTCTGTTTAATGGTTACTTAAAGTATTATCTTCACGATTATTTTCTGTAAATGAGGACATAATGGTTTGTCTTCTGCGCCATCAAATGAGAAAGATTCTAATTTGGCATCTGCAGCTTACCAAGATTGGGTAATATCATCAACCAATCGTCCTCGTTATCGACTTCTTTTCAATCAGCACGATCGAAATAAGCGTGGTTTTCTTACTGGTGTAGAAGCAAGAAGTATTCTTTTACAATATGGCCTTTCAAATCCCATACTAGCTCATATCTGGTAAGATGGACATATTTGTCATCTGTTTAGTGATAATGCCTTTTATTCTTTCGTACATTTTTGTTGTTGCTTCTCATAGTTTTGGTGTTTTTTTTAAATTCCGTTATTTATGGCGTTTAGTTTTTCACAACTAGCTGTTAACGTCAATCCATGTGTCTGGCAAACTTAACAGGGGATAAAAATTTACCATTAATTCATTTTTATTTTCCAGAATGGTACGTTGTTGAGTAATATGAAATGGTTGGTTGATTGCCGTTTCCTTGTTTGTACCGTTGATTGGAGAAGAGTTTTTACTTCATTTCTAGCTACCAGATTATTCCTAATTTCTTCCTCTGATTCCGTTCACTTGAAGTAGGTAGTGTTCAAGTATCCAAAGGTGTATTCTATCTGACCAAGATACGAACAATGATGGCAAAAGAAAATATGGAATAAGTACAATAGTTAGGGTTAATTACATTTACTCTCATTAAATGATTGAATATGACAACCATGATATATCAGCCACCTCAATATTCAGTGGGACAGTATATTTTATGATAAATAAAAAAATATTCTCCTAAAATAGCTCATAAACTGATCGAATAAAGTTTTGTCCGTGAAAACACTCAAAGAGATATAATAAATGTACACTTGAACTTACAGTTGTGTCCCTTTGCTAATGTGGTGTGACAACCTGAACTTATGTACGTACGGAGTTCTACGTTGTAACTGACTGACTGAATAAATGTACACTAGATATTGCTGGCAGCCACTGGTATTTTCGAACAGTCTGAATCATTAGCAATGATATGCATAATTTTTCCTTTGATTCAACTGACGTAGAAACCTCAGGGTCTAGTAATTTATACAGATGTTTTTAGATTGTTAGTATTTCGTTTCAATTTGTTTAGTAATCTATTAACTGGCTTTTTTTATAGGAACCTTGCAGATTTGGATAAAGATGGCAATTTAAACTGTGATGAATTTAGCATTGCAATTTTCTTAATTGAAAAAGCACTTTCTGGATCTCAACTTCCAAATACACTTCCTTCTGGTCTTATTCCTTCAAATCAACCGGTATACATATATATTTATGTATATAATATTCAATCCTTTAACGAAGCAGTTTGTATATGATTTTTAATCCACCATTGTTTACTTGCTGATATCAATAGAAGGAGATTAATGGTCTTATCATATTTTGGGACCATGCACAAACCTCTATCTAGTTTAAGATAGGACACTATATAGGAGCGAAGTTCACTAATTAATTCATATCACTTGTGTATTGTACCTACTTAGATTTGGTCTATTTCTGGTACGTTTACATTCTGTAGAAATTGAATCTTAACAATTTTTCAGAGTAATGAAAATCTGAAACCAAAAGCTCTCAGATATTCTCAACTTAAAAAAGTTGGATTTCACTAAGTGGTATAATACTACTTGCACTACAGGTCTGTATTCATCGTCCCTTAGGCAGACTGACGTGGTCTTACAAATGGTAACCGAAATCCCTATAAACTAATTCATGGGTAATATCATCTACCATATTACCATCATCACTAGCAGCAACCTAGATAGACGAACATCCTACTGTCTAGGATGAATATTGGCATTAAACTTTATCAGTCTTGTCGGAATAATAAACATATTGATGATGCAAATTACAATCCAAACTGGTTGCCAACTCGTTTTTTATCATTTATACAACTCGTTTATCATTGCTAAGCAAAATTTTGTCATTAAACTTCCTGCCCACGCCACAGGACAATTCCGTCATATTTGTCATCAATAGCAGTGTTGGAGGAAAGTGGAAATTGAAGTCATTCGGTTGATTTTGGCATTAATCGTTTGTTTTATATGTGTTTCGATTGGTAAAACTGTAGATAAAAATTATGGAAAAACACCGTTACTCGTATCAGTAAACTTTTACCTCAGTATCACAATAAGTGACTGTTCATTCAGAAGTATTCCATGCAACAGTTTTCAGTTATAATTATTGTCCACTTTTATAGGATTCTAGTCATCAAAAGTAAGAAACTCGAATTCCGCACATGTTATCAAAGTGCTTACTTCAAATATTATTTTGGGTGATTACTCTCGTGAACCAACCATTCTTGCAGCACAAGTTTGTTTGAATCAGGTTCTGAGTAAAATAAAGATGAAAAAAGATAGGAAATTTATTTATACCAAAGAGGAGCATCACTGTGACATGGATTAAATCTGTTTATTGTGATAGCTTTAACCTAGTAAGTTTCAAAAGACTACCTGCTGACTGAATATGTTAGGAATTAAATCTATCAGATGCTAACTTTATATCCAACCGTATTTTATTTGCTAGCAATTTTTTGATCGAGAATAAAAATACAAATCACAAAAAATCAGTAGTGCTTTATTTGTCGCTACCAAATCGCTTCATCAATTACAAGTTTTCCACCCTATGCCGATAATCCATCTTCATCAAATCAGTTTGATTGTCAGATAATTTATCCTAACCATTTCAATTTCGCCAAAGAAATCCAACAATATTACTCAGTTAATTTGTAACCAACAATTTCGTTTCCATTATTATTATTATTATTATTATTATTATTATTATTATTATTATTATTATTATTATTATTATTGTTTTTATTAGTTGCTCAATATCTTTGTATGTTGTAATGAATCATTACAATAATTTGTATTTTATCCTCTGAAAATTAGCGCACATTTGGGCATACATCTCCTAATGTCACTGCCAAACAAGATGATAACGAGTGCAAAGAAAGCAAATCATGTACGATAAATCTATTACATTTCAACTAAGCAAGTTTTTTTCTCACCCTGACATGTTAATAATACCATCAACTGTATTGTATTCTTGACTAGTATTTAATATTTTTAATGAAATGAAAATCTCACGGTTACTACGTACTTGAATGCAAACTTACTCCTATCACCCCCATGAAGCATAGACCGTCGATCAGTATTCTCCAACTTGCTCTATCCCGGGCTTCTCTTTCTAGTTCTGTACCAATTTTTATTCTCTCTTCTCATGTCTGTCTCCGTTTCTCGGTGTAATATGTTCCTTGGTGTTCCTGTTCTTTTACCTTGAGGGTTCCAGGTGAGGGCTTGTCTTTTAATGCAGGTCGGTGCTTTCGGCAATGTGTTTACTATCCACTTCCAGCTCTTCTGCCTGATTCCCCCCTCCACTGGATCCCGGTTTGTTCTCTCCCGTAGTAGGTTGTTGCTGATGGTGTTTGGCTAACGGATCCTAAGTATTTTGCTTAGACAACTCTTAATGAACACTTGTATCTTCTGGGTGATGGTTTCGGTAGTTTTCTAAGTTTTCACTCCATACAGTAGAAATATCTTGACATTTGTATTGAAAATTCTGATTTTGGTGTTGGTTGGTATCTTTTTGGAGTTACAGATGTTGTTCAACTGTAGAAATGCAGCCCTTGTTTTGCCGGTCCACGCCCTCACATCAGGTCCACCTTGCTCGTCAATTATGCTGCCCAGATATGTAAAGGTTGTTACGTCCTCCAAGGCATATCTCCATCAAGAGCGATTCGGTTGACGCACGTGAGGGTGTGGACCATCATGTTGTGTTCTGTCGAAGAATCTTGCTTTTCCTTCTTTCCAGTCTGTCGGTACTTGTTATTCATCCAAAACCTTTTCGAAGTGAGTGTAGAATGTTGGTGCAGTTGCAGCCACGTCTGCTTTGATTGCCTCTACTGGAATGTTGTCTGTTTCCGCTGCATTGCCGCTCTTGATTTGTCTGGTGCCATGCTGATCTCTTCAATTGTTGATGGGCCACCATCGATTGGGAGGTGTGTTCAGTGAAGCTGGTCGATTCATGAGTGCTTCAAAGTGCTCTACCCACGTATATCTCTGCTCTTCAGTGTTGCTGATTACTTTGCCTTCCTTGCTTTCCTACTAGTCTTCCTTGTTTGTGATAATTTCCAGCGAGCTCCTTTGTTGTATCATACTGTTGTGTCATGTTTCCTTCTGTTGCAGTATTTTCCGCCGTCATTGCTAGATATTCCACATATTAAGGTTTGTTGTCTCTGATGCTTTTTACTTGCTTGTTTGCTTCTGGGTATTCAGCTTGTGACTTGGCTTTTTCTGTTCTTGATCGGCTGATGTTAATTGCTGCTTTCTTGAAATTTTTCAAGAGTATCAACAGAGACCTATTCCTTATGATGGTACTTGTTGTGGCCCAGAACTTCGTGATATCTTGAAGTGATTGCCTTTTTGGTCCCTTTCCAATTGCTGTACATGGTTGTTTTCTCTCCATTGAGTAGATCGTGCAAGGCCTGGAACCTATTACTGAGGACTATCTTGAATTCGATGGTCCCGAAGAAAGGTGGTATTAAACTTCTGTGATGTCTGCCCCGTTGTCCAGTTTCATTTTTGCGACCAGCAAGTGGTGATCTGAGGCTATATCAACTCCTCTCTTGATTCTCACATCCTCCATGGTCCTTCTGAACGTTTTGTTGATACAGATATGGTCGATTTGGTTCTGAGTATTGTGATCGGGTGATATCCATGTAGCTTTGTGTATGCGTTTGTGTGGGAATGTCTTTCCGCCAATGATCATTTCGGTGAAGGCACATAAGTTTGCAAATCTCTCACTATTTTCATTCCTTTCTCCTAGTCCATGTCGTTCCATGATATCTTGATATCTAGTGTTGTCCATGCCAACCTTGGCATTTAGGTCTCCCATTAAAATCGTCAAATTCTTTGATGAGCATCTGTCGACTATTGACTGCAGTCTTTCGTATAATTGATCTTTATCGTCGTCATTGTAGTTGTTGGTAGGTGCATAGTAATGGATGACGTTCATTTTAATGTCCTCTTTCTTTGTTTTGAAGGATGCTTTGATGACTGTGGGTCGATGAGATATCCATCCTATCATTGCCTGTGTCCAATGTGTTTTACTGATTCCAAGCAGCTCCGATCTGAATCTTTCGATCACTGCAGCAATTTGGAAAAGTCTTCCGTTCTCCCACACTACTCGGACATTCCTTGTACCTAAAATAATGGTTGCTCTGGTTGTGATAACAGTCATCTGTCTCGTAACTTACGAAGGAACTCGGCTTTCATCTTGAGACGTCATAACCCTTCTGAACGAAGGCCTTGTAACTCCCAGGGCAGAGTTGACATTGTTTGAATTATGTTTTCCGGTTAGCGTTCTTTAGCCAGTTAGTTTTCTACGGTATGAGGTCGGCAACTTTCAAGCTCAGCCCTCCTCGTTTACACGGGCTTGGGACCGGCAGTAGCCCTAAAAGGGGCTCCAGTTGGAGTTGAATGCAAACTAGTGAATACGATTTAATTTTCTATCAGTACACGGGTGTTTATTCAACAATGAATTTAATAAAAACGTAGAATGAAGTCATTATCATTTTCCCTAACATATGTATATATGTATATCCTATTTTTGATACATTCAACAGATGGTAGTTTGAAAATAATGCTTTCACTGATAAGTTGTAAGCTTAATTAACATGCTCATAAGACGATAGAGAATATTTGTCACTCACGGTGAGGATTTGGAAAGTTTAATGTTCTCTGAGTTGCGACATTTAGTCATGCGGCTTTTAGTGTTTTTAGGATCATCACCATGAGAACATACTTCATTTTAAAGTGTCTGCTAATAATGTTGTCATGAAGGAAAATTAAGACCCCACAACTACGTCCATATCACAGAACGCTACATCCTCAAAATGTCCAAAGTATATCATCTGTGTTTTGACGAGATGTTGCGTTCACGTTTTAGTATGAAGTTAAGGTTTAAGAATTTGTTAACATTATAATGTGCCTACTCTAATAAAGTCATTTTTGGTCAGTCGTTTGAACTACTATTGTTGTTTGTAGCGTTTTGGTTAATTGTGCAATTCAACTTTTATAAAGTGCCTTGATTTTTGTCGCCTCTTTCATACGGATGTATTTTGTAAAACCTGGATAACAAAGTTCATCGTGCACCTTTCAACATATTGACCGCATAAGACTATTTAATTGCTCAGTGTTATCTAAAAGCCGCAATACGACCGAGGATGTGTAGAGTCCTCTCTCCCTCTCGAAATGCTATCATGACCATGCATAGATAACTGCCGTCAGAAACGTCCTACGCACAGCCTTCCCATAGTAATGGTACTTTTTACGAACTTGAAAGGATGAAAAGCGAGTAACCGACGCTTAAATCGGGTTAGCAGTATAATGGACCTACCTAGGGAATATGGAAACTCAGGTTCGAAACCAGTGATGCACATGGGCTCCGGGATCAAATGGCTTGTTAACCTATTGTTGGTCATTGGCTTCCAAATGGTCGTATCTTCTGACGTTGCTCCACTGCCTTGTGGATTAGACTTCTGAGTCAGTGGCTCGGGGAGTGGATTCCTAAAAAAACCACCGGTTCCGTTTTCAACACCTGAACAGTATCTTAACTCACGCTCGGTGATTTTTATGGTGCATGTATCTTTTGGTACGCCTTCATACCGATGTTCAAGTGTCTAAATAAATATGTAAAAGCAGTCAGTCTCATGTGCTTTTATGGGTATGAGGGCGGATGTTACTTCGCGGCTGCCCACATCTTGGACGGGCTCTGGTTATCAGAAGGAGCATCGGCCTCTTGACTTCCGAAGAAACCCGGTTTTCATCATGAGCCGTCATAACTCTTCTAAATAAAGACCTACCTGACAGAGCAGAGTTTGAATTATTATGTAAAAGCACAATAATACATATAATAGTTCCATACAATAAATCAGTTATTGTCTCACCAAGTACTATTAGCATCTCTTCTGCAACACTAGATCACTTTGATCTAAGTCTTCGATGGCTTACTAGTTTGAAAAAAATGTCGTCGACAAAGATCGATCATAACTAACTAAGGCTATTCTAACTAGATTCCTACCCTGTGTATATGAACAAACTACATTATATTGTTGTCTGTCATAATTCTTTATCGTACTATTTATCTATCCGTTTGATATAGTTGTGGTATAATTCAGCTGCAAGCTCATAATGATTATCTTGCTCTAGTATAACAACTGGTCTCAGTGTTCGTTTTAAGATCATAGTAAATAAAATATATTGATGCTGTATTAATAAACTGGCTTTCTACTTACAGTTTTCCCCCATGTTAGATATGTATGAATTTAATATATTTTTTAGCTTTGAGTTTTGAAGATAAACGTAGAGAAAATTTTAGACAAGGTCAAGCAGAACTAGACAGACGGAAGCAGGAGTTAGCTGAAAAAATGCGTTTAGATGAAGAAATTCGCTTGGAAAACGAACGATTAGAAAAGGAGAAGCAACAAAAATTACGGTGTGTTTTTGTTTGTGTATGCTTAACATTGGGTGGTTTCGAATTGTATACCATCATAATAAGATATTAGTCATTTATTGATTTCCCGATAATTGTTACTTCAATCAATTACGCAAACCTCAGAAATCATAAGCTCATTTTAAGAGCTATTAACTACCTCGTAATTCGAAGCAATTTTTTATAAAACTAGCTATAATAGGTTGATGCATTCAGTTCACTTTTCGAAACTCCGTATTTTTGTCTGAGTTTATATGTTTATTTCAGTTACAATAGAAGTCTGTAGTCATATTTGACACCCAGCTTACCATCTCGGTCGAGTTTTCAAAGAAATGTTTACTAATCACTTCTTGAAGTACTCACATCACGTTATTGTCGTTTATATCATCATTAATAAGGTATGGATTTTTCTGTTGTTGGCATATATGTATCATGTGAAGATCTCCTTGGTATAGCTATATTGTCACAAGTTTGCTTGTGGATTGTACGTACTGTCCACTACTTGGCGCACTCCATCTGTTTTCTAAGACCAATATTAAATTACTGGATGATGTCGCTCTAAAATTATTATGAACAGTTAACCACAGATACGATAAATTGTCTTAATTCTTTTGTCCATTATCTTAGGTTGAACTGGTCACCCGTTGTACATATTGTCTAACTACTATCTTGACAAGTTTCTAAACAAGTTTCAGATTAAGAATGACGATAATTCACTAATATTTTGAGTTGTATTACTCTTAGAATTCTAGAAGTCAATAAGTATTTATTTTCGGTTTTACATTTGCAGTCATTTAATATTGCAATCTTATATTTTTCAATCTTATATGCTATCATGATAAATTGATACTTGTTCGAAAAGCCATGTGATAATTTGTCGTAAGTAATATTTTCGTCGACTTTATATCACAAACTGGTCTTAGACTACAATTAAAGATCTGGAGCCACTAGATGGCCATTTCTCCCTATTTTAAGGCTCCTAAGATGTGCGCATCCACGATTAGTCATTTGAGCTTTGAACCCAGGACCTTTAGTTTTGCACATAAACGCCTAATCTGTAGACCACTGAATCTGCATCTAGCATTATCACCTCGATCGATTCGCGATGTTGCACGAACATCTCCCATTGTTTGCAGTGTAAAACTGTTTCAGCCAACATGGCTGATGGTCCGTTGTTACGTTTTCCTACAGCAACCCCAGGAATTACACATTTTCGTGAATCGGCTTAAGTTGGACAGTGATACCGTCGCCCGACTGTAGCTGCTACCTTGCGTGGTGGTCGGGCCTGCCTATCGTGATGACCCAACTGAGCTATATTGGCTGGAACATATGTTCCCGTAGGTCCTACCATGCCAGGCAGGTCGGTTGAAGAACGATAGTACTAAGAGCAGCAACTCATGGTCTGGGGGTGAAGTCATACTGCTGACTGTGAAGGCGTGTGACAGCAGTAGGGTGTTTCTCTCGAACTACCAGCATCTACAGCGATGCTGCCTTCTCGCAACGAAAGGAAGGAATTAGAAAAGGTCAACCTTGAAAATGACACACTTCACCTTTCCTTACGGATTTCCGTCTCCACTGGTAAGACCATTTAACGTGCAGACCTAACAGTCTAACAACCTCCCATAGAAAGGCCGCATTTGACCGACCTAAAGCGGTTGTCGGTTGGGGTCTGCGGTCACACTTCCAGGTCGTCAACCCACTTTCGTTTTCAAGCTCCTTAAGAAATACTCTTTCAAGGTGTGAGCGACCGGGAAGTGACATCCGCCCTCATACTCGTAATAGCTCACGAAACCAAACTAGTCAGAATCAAATCAACCTATACCTTTTAATAAATCTCTTACTTCTATGACCAAACGTTCTCACATTGCCTTATGACCCCGCTCCGCTAATGCAAACGATTCTAGTTCGTGACACGTTATTCTTGTTCTGCTGAAACGCCGCCCTAAACTACATGTTGGGGTTTTTGATGTTTGAACCTTGTGCCAAATAAGACAACAAGCTTCCTTAACTAGGGCTTTAGAATCTCGTGTCATCGATGTATGGTGCTTGTCTGAAACGAACATACATGATCTGAGTCACGTCATTCATTTGACCTCACTACATACTTCATATAAAGAACCAACTCGATTTACTGTTCGTGAATGTGGAAGGCCCACTTTTGCTTCCGTGAGCTCATTGGTGAGCAGATATAGCATTGAGTCGTAGGGCAGAGATAGCTCCCTTGGACTATATCCCGGTTGATATCCGCTAATGCACTGTCCGACTAGACGGAACTGCACGAACTCGGAAAGAGAGAGACACACCTTTGCATCTTCATTGTCCTTGTCTACGCTCCCACCTCCCTCAAGAAGTGAAGCGCTTTCATGTAGTAATCGTGGCTCAACTAGGTAGACTAAGCGAGAAGGAAAGATACCTGGTAGATCTTATGGCGTCGCGGCTCGAAGAGCAGATAACGGCGACTCTTTGCAACTATTCTCCGTTAATCGACTGTTTCTGTCAAATACTAACTTTGAGTATAATGGAAGATATCTTTTTACATGCCGACTCCCAAAATAGTCTCAACGCTGGACTCAACTAGTTCACATCGTTATCAGCCTCCAAAGAAAGGGGTTCGGTATAAGACTGTAGTTCTTTCTGGAGTGCATGTTTAGATTCATATCATGTTCTAGTACGAGCGCGTATTTGTCTGCGTCTTATCGGACGTAGGGAAGATGCAGCAAGTAAACTCCTTACAGTTCTACTTAACGATAACAAAGTCAAGAGTACATTTCGGGAGCATCTAGAAAAACAGGCAGCCATGTAAGTTATGCCCATCCCGAGTCAAATTGCATTGGATTTCATTATCGTCTACTGAATTGATGGATGCTCTGAATTTCATCCTGTTCAGCTCCGAATATGATGTGGAGTGGAGTAAGCTTAAGCACAGGCTGATAAGAAATCTACGCAATGGAAAAGGCCCTGGCGATAGGCAACCGTAGACAGCTATTAAGATTTATCAAGTAAACGGGAATTAGGAATCCGACTGTAAGTGGGACTATCTCGGAAAAGAATGGGCCTATTATTCATTCTCACTCCAGGAGATTGAATCGATGAGCAAAATACTTTAGGGATCAGTTCTACTGGCTTTCGGCCACCCTTCGGTTACCCATGATCTGCAGTCAGCCTGAATGGCGAATTGATGTAAGCCCTCTGGCTCTTCATGAAGTTGAAAAAGCTGTAGGAAATCCAAGGTGAGGGAGGGGAGTGAGCCCTGATAGGCTTGTCGCTTAGATTTTTAAGGATGATGGTCCACTTTTATCAGTTAAGTTGACTGAGATCATAGGCACAATGTGGGATCTGAGCGTAATCCTATCCGACTGGTTTTAATCACTAATTGTCCCAGTCGATAAGAAAGGGCAAAGTCCTCTTGTGAAAATCACAGAGGAAGCAGTTTGACTGATATAGTTTCTAAAATGTTAGCTTCAATAATACTTATACTCCTAACTAGAGCTCGTAAAGAGCAGACTCGAGAAAACCCGAGTGTTTCCAATTCGTGAAATAAAGTTAATCAGAATCTTGTAATCTCTGCCGAATCCTATACTAATAAATTATATTTTTTTTCATATGTTCATATAATATTATGTTTGTTTTTTATCACAGTATGGAAAAAGAGCGTCAACAAGCTGCAGAAGCTGAAAAACAAGCAGAACTTACAAGACAACTGGAAGTTCAACGAGAACAACGTCGTCGTCAAGCTGTTGAGCATAGGATGAAGGCTGCACGTGAAGCAGAAAAACAACGTCAAATTGAGTTAGAGCGGATTCGAACTGATGCTCTTTTGAAGGAGCGTAATCATATGCAAGCTCTACTGGAGCAGGTAATCTCATTGTAGATGATGTTTATACAACAACATCACACTCTTTTTTGTAGAACGTATTTTATTGCTTAAGATTGTATTACTCTAACCATGATATAGACTAGAATCATTTAATTGAATTATCAAATATTTGAGAAATCTGCTAAATAACTACTTAGTTTGGAACTGTAAAGGTACATGTAATAGTATAGAAGATATCATTAAAGTAGAACTGATGTAAATTATTCCAGCTGTTAACAGTTTAGAAGCATCTGTCTGTGTGTCTGTTGTAAAAACTTATCTGATATTAAACTGAATCCCCCTCAATGTAATATTAAGGTTGTTCGAAAATATGACTTGGTCAGTAGAAATGTGTAAATGAAAAACTCAGCCTTGTTTCCGTAGTCACATTTTTCTGAGCTTCCCACCCTTTAAGTACAAAGAAAAACCTATAACGTTTTTAACAAGTAAGGTCAAATAGATCTACTTGAAGGATGCCAAGTAAGTAAGAGCTTCTACACTTGTTAACTAGAACGATTTACTTCAATAGCGATTTTTTTGCTTCTTATCGTGTTGATTTTCCTTTACACTCTCTGTCCGCAGTTTGATGACTTGGATTCATTTTTGTTTATGCCTGACTGATCTGTTCTAAAAAGATCAGAAACGTAATATTTCTTGGTTGTTATTGCTATTTTGTTCATGCTCGTTGCTTTACCTAGCTTCGTTTTCGTATATCTCTATATATTTGATTTTAATATTGTACTTGTTAAGGCTATTGCTCACCGTGCAAGTTTACTTGAATCAGCAACATCACAACAGCAACGTTTATCGGAATTAGACTCTCGTCTCACAGTTGCACAAACTGAAGTTGATTCTCATAAGACAAGTATTAATGAAATGCGTAGTAAACGCGATGCTTATGAGCGTGATATTCGCGAAATGACTGAACAAATGGAAGCTGCTAAGGCTGAACTTACTCACTGGCAGAGAGAAAAGGAACAGTTAAGCTTGCGAATGGCCGCCGGAGTAGATATGAATCCTGTCATGGAACAGTACAAAACACTACAGTCAATGCGTGATGTAAGTTTGATTATCAACCTGTTTAACTTCATAATATAGTCTTAACAACTGTTTTACTATTTAATGGTCAAATTATTATCGATCATTCTAACAATAACATTGTGTGTATTCACTCTAGTGGACTAAAATATGCCAAGAGAAATCGGTCATTATTAAATAATCAATCGTACGTTCGAAGAATGGTTTTTAGTATGAGGAGATAGTGTAAACCTTAACCAATAGTATGATTTCTAATTTTTACGAAAAAAGTCTTGATGCTTGATACTCACATATACTATACTACGATAATTCGCGGTAATTTTCATTATAAATAGCTAAATTCCCAGGACTCATAAATAAATCAGTGTTTTATGAGTTTCACTGTCAATAAAAATGACCAATTTCATATGAATTAGGATGCTTACTTTTTAAACAGTTTAGATAAATAACTACATTTCATTGGACATGTTTTATTTGAACTTTGAACTAAAATTAGGTTAATTATTTATTTGGTTCTGTAATGCTCTTATTCTCCTTTTTGCGTTAATCTTGGACTAAGATTTGATACATACATTAGTTGTTTATTGGTCTCCTCATTAACTACAACTGTATTAGGCGAGATTCTGAACAACTTGAATACACTACCACTACAGGCAAACGATCAAACACTTTTATGCACTCGGTCATAGGTTTGAATTCTGCCCCGTCTACTTTGTATAGAGATATTATGGAAAACTGAAAACTCAATTTCGCATGACATCAATTTGGTGATGATGCTTTAATTGATTAGAAAATTTAGTTATTTTATTCATGCTTAAGGTTTAAATACGAGACCATCGTCATCGTTGATTGATTAGTACGTGAGTTCATTTTCGTGTTTCCATCAATTGGTTTGTGATACGTTTGTTTATTGCGTTCTGTATATCTCAGTAATTAGAATATTTTTCCATCAACTGTTTGTCACATCTAATATCACTTTTATTACCCAAAGAAACAACGCAAATTGAGGTTATCGAAGCTTTATTTCACTTTCCATCGATACCAATCTACATTTGTCTTATCTCTGTTTCCATTATTTGGATTTAGAATAAAAATAATTTCTCGCGTCTCTGGGATATAATACGATAATAAGATAATACTAGAACTCAATACACTTGATAAAGATCGTTACGATTTAAGATAGATCATTTTGAACTCACATACACAATCCACAACCAATAATGAAGAACCAGACAATGGATCAGACAATAGTTTGTTTAAATACTAGCAGTTTAAATAAGAAGTAGAATCTACGTATCAAATCAGAGTAATCAATAATCATAAAGAATTCACATTATTAAATCTACTTCTATTTGTCTTTACTCATTGATCGTGAATTATTTGCTCAAAGCGGAACTTAGGCTCTGTAACTACTTCATCCTTTTACGTGGTATTTTATTAAAATCCTGTGCACCGACGATTTTTGTGAATTCGATTCATCCTCTGAGTGGTAAATTAACCGTCAGAATGCACAATAAACCACCAACGTATTCAACTTTCTCATTGACGTTAATGATGCATAATAGCTGTAATTTAGTGTTCTCCCTACAGTTGTCACAGCTCTCAGTGAATTTTATTATTGTACGTGAATCCGTGTTTGAACCTACTATCTAATTGGTAACAGCTGGATGTCTAGATTACTGAATTTCATAACTTCATGCATAGTTAGCGAAAACATTATTCGCCTTAAATATTTTTAAAACAAATGATTGTAACCTAGTCTCAAACTATTGATGATCGCTAATTTAATAAGATCAATGCTAAAGTTAATTTTATTTTCACCATATAAAAATACATAGTCTTAATAGACTAATAACTGATAATATATCGGTTTTACCATGTTATTCATCTTGTTATAAGTTTTAGTTATACTTGACACCTATTGGTCTAAAACATAACAAACCAGTTACAGTGTCAACGATGTTAATAAGGTTTCATGAAAAATCTTAATGGCATGTCTGTTTCTCGTTATGTTTATGCAAAACGTTTCGTCAGGTGTATAAACGTTCAATTTTAATTACGGAGGTTAATTCATAATCAAATGTCGATACGATACAAGTACCATGTTAATTACTTTATCTAAGTAACCAATCAGCTTACTAAAATATTGAAGAATTGATCATGTACCTGTTTCTAAATTCACTGACACAATAGTTGTATGTGAATGTGATTGAAATGAATAATTTCATAAAACAAATTTCAGTTTGATGATATTTGGTCCAAGATATGTTGCATATGCGTACGTCTATGTTTGTCGTCATAAATTGTTAATGCTCCATTAACTTCAATCAATAAAATTGCATTACATATATATATATATATATATATATATATATATATATATATATATACTCTGGTTTTTAAATTACAATATTTTAATTTCGTAAATGTTATTATTTGCTATTCCTTAACATTTACAATCAGGCACGTATTAAAGCAATTGAGCAGTTAAAAAATAAATTGAATGAATTAGATCAGAATATGACTCAGCAAGGTCATGAACTGGCTACTAGACGTAACAAAATTGATGATGCAGAAGGTCGCGTCACACGAGCAATGCTTGATTTAGTTGATTTACGACATTCTGTTGAACAGAAAATGGAAGCATATAAATTGAAAAAAAAATCTGATTTATCCACGTATGTTTTGGTTTTTTGTTGTTAAAATAATACCTGTTTACACGGAAAGCACTTATGTTTAGTTAGTTACTCTATAAGAACTTTTTAACTATTAATATATTTACGTAAAACGGCTGTATTCACTATGTATAAGGATTTCAGAAACATATATATACACCTGACGGTGTCTTTTTACTGTTCAAGCAAAATTATTACTTTATGAGAAACCTGCTTTCCATCGGCTTATTTGCAGCACTAACTATAAGTGAGAGTTAAAATAAGTACCGCTCAACAGAAGCTTTTCCATCAATAAGGAATGTGAGTAGAGACTTGTGTATGGCACTGAACAAAGGTACAGTTTGTCAAGCATAAGATATGCTTAACTTAACGACACTGGTCCCAAGATTTTGCGAATTTACTGAATTCAGATATGTGACCTGATGGATTCCAACTCGTCAGTAAAAATGTAATATCCTAAGTTGGATCCTCAGAGAGGGATATAAATGTACACTCCATGTTAATACGAAATAGGTATCCAGTATTCCGTAGTTTTCTAGGTTTGTTTGCTAGAGTTACTATACAAATCAAATTGAAATGAGGCATTATAAATGAAATTATCAGTTGTTTCGCCTACATGTTCTTCACCTTTTTGGTGTTTCTATGGTAAACTTAAAGCTGCATTCTTTTTCCAAATATAATTGCAAAAGTTTCCAATGAAAATCATTAAGCAAGAACGAAGTAACTAGACATCTGAAGTTTATAATGCCTTTGAGATATTTCCGAATTTTGACTTGAAGTTCGCTAAGATTGTCCTTGGTTATGAATAATGATTTACTGCGAAGCATAATTATTGGTTAATAGCTTACTTTGTTGTCCTCCTTTTCGTCGAAATAGCCACCATTGACAATCAATACTTAGTTCTGAATTCTCAGATACTTTACAAATCTCCCTCTGGTAAACATCTTGTCTCTTAGTTGCAGTAAGTAGTGTTTCATGCGCTACTGAAATGATCGGGCTATACCATTTCACATAGAAATATTGAATTGAGTCATCCATGCTTCTGAGTTTAAATAGTTATAAGAAAATTTACAGATATTTATTTTATTTTTTATGTTCCTTTTATCTTTGCCAGTACAATGGTTATTTCAGCAGAGATAGCGACATAGGATTATCTTTATTCATTTTGAATGAGTTTTCTGAACTCTTCATCTCTCAACCCACTAAGTAAAGTGCAGCGATGGCTTAGGTGATGCATTGACTTACTGTTTAATACGTTAGATTTTCAGCCAGAATAAATTAAAAATTACAACCCTACCCTACCTGCTTCATTTTGGGTGACTCTAGACTTGGATTTCGTTCACATCCAAGTTAATTGTGAAGCAATCAAACTTTTTACTAGGCTTCAATTGTGACACTAATTATTAAAGAAAATGCTCACCTTGAGTAGCTGCTTTTAGTCTCATCGTTCTCGAGTCGACCTGCCTGGCATGGTAGAACCTTCAGGAACTTATTTTCCAGACAATGTAGCTCGGTTGGGTCGTCACGATAGGCAGGCCTGATCACCACGTTAAGGTAGCAGCTATGGTCGGGATATAAGTTCGTCTGTATTCAATAAGGTCATTTTATACATTATCTACGTTTATTATTTCGTTTTCTTTTTCCCTGGCAGATCCACTCCAACTAATGTTGGAAATGCACAAAAAGAATTATATGAAGCAATGTTTGATTTTACTGCTAGACATCCAGATGAATTATCATTTACAACTGGAACTCTAATTGATGTAAGTTTTTTTATTGACAATTAATTCCTAATCAACTTTTATAATAATTTCTTTCTAAAACGAACTACACTGTTTAAACTAACTATTGCGGATATTCTACATTATCTTTTATATAATTTGTTTATTTTTTTTAAAGTAACGAATATAAACTTCGTTCACGTTTTACTCATTAATATTCTAGCCGTTATACTGCACAACTTATAATTCTACTTTTTATTTGTTAAAACACAAATTTTAATGATTGCTACTAAGTATAGGGTTGTAGAAGTTGTTGAATTTCATTGTATCCTTGAACCGGTCTAAGTTGGATCACTACTAAAGACTGAGAAGTATTAGACACTTACGTTTCGTCCTAGTATGGGTCTTGTGGGCAGTGCTCATCCTAGAAACCTCAGACAATGGGAGATGGTCGAGCAATATCGTCGATTATTGAAAGTTAGACATTAATATCTTTGGATGCCTACTCATTGGTTTAAAGACTAAGTATTCACGCGGAAGATCAAAGTGCTTTAGTTCAATTCCCACATCTGGGGTCTTTGATGCACACTTTTGAGGAGCCTCATACTAAGAAGAAGAGGCTTTCTAGTGCTTTGAGGTTTCGAGTGGTTAATTCAGCATTTCTAACTGTAATTTACTGCTATTTTTACTAAAACATGAATACACGTGATTTTAATGAGTTGATTTGTGTTAGATGAAATCGAAAAGAAATATGAATTAACTTACCGGCAATTCATATTACTTAGCAACCTTTGTTCTTTTCTTATTTAGGTTTTTGCAAATGCCCCGGTTAATGTAGGTCCAGGTTGGTTGTATGGTCAAATTGATGATAAAGTTGGATTATTTCCTGAAACGTATGTACGAAAAAAAGTCGATGGGAAGATTGATCCATTCGATCCCTTTGGAGTTCATAAAATAACAAGTACTTCTTTACCACCGGGAGTGATGACAACAACAGTGACAACATCTACGACAAATGGTACACCTGCCCATACAAGTAGTGCATTGGATACTATTAGGAGGTAAGATTTGGCTAGATTAATACCTTTTTTCCCTAAAGTAATATTCGATGTCAATCATTTATCTGTATTGCCAAATGCCATTTTTTACTAGTTCCAAATTGATATAAATAGTTTTAAAAACCCAACTAAATGGTGAGGCTTAGTTGTTCGCTAATTATATTGTTCATTGTTACAGTTCATAATGCTTGTACTTACCCTTTTAAATATTCTTTTCTTAAAAATTCAACTCTTAAGTATTAAAGATTTTAATAAGTTTATTAATAAATAACAATGTGTAGAATACTTGGTAGATGTGTGTGAGAGACTGTAAATCTAGGTTCTGTGCTTAGAAGCACTCACCAGCACAATCGTTCTCATAACCATTATTCAAATCGTCCAGCATTTAGTCTGTTTAACTCGATTGCATTTCACGTGTAAGCAGATTGGGAAAATCAACTCTTAGTAACTTAATTATGTATAATAGTTCGTTGTATTTCATTTGATATGTTTTATGAAAGTTTTGATCACTTTTTCCATCTGTTAGGATCATATTTATTATTTACTTACTATGCAACTTATTTTTAGTCAGTTAAAACGTAGAACTTCGGACGTATGTACATCACTTCAGGTTTCCATACCGCATTAGCACAGAGACGCAATTGTCACTTCAAATCCCATAGTAGTAGGGGTAGTAGAAGTATTAGCAGTAATCGAAAATATTAATGATCAAGTATATCATTCGAGATGTATACTCCAGATGAATCGATTAAAAAAACCGGTCATGAGAAATTCAGAAGATTAGAATTTCATAGAACACAAAGAATGGATACACCTGTGCCGTTGCAAACGGTTTTCATGATCTCTCACGAACCCCAACCAGGCAGTCAGAACTTACCCACATGATTCAGTCCATTTGTCAGTGACTTCATGCATTTGTACCATGTTTTGGTTTGGCCGCCCCTAGCTTTCTTTCAACCTACTCGGTGGTTAGGCAGGCATACGTAACACATGTCCCAACCACCTCAACTGATGAAGTTTCACTACTTCATCTATTGATCTGCTATCCTTACCTAGTACTCGTTTCCTAACGACATCATTGTTTACTAGATTGTCCCACGACGTACGGGCAATGCTTCGGAGATACCTATGATCGAAAACCAGTAACCTACGAATATCTTCTACTCTTACGGGCCATGTTTCACAGCCATAAAGTATGACGGAGCGAACTGCTGTGCAGTACACTCGCCCTTTAGTCAGCAAACGGATACCTTGCCCACGTCATAAGTAACGCAAGCTATTCGAACCTCCTTATTAGGGCTGAGATCTTGTCACATCCGAGGTCTCCAGCACTGATGAGACTCTCAAATTAAGTGAAGCGGTTCAAACACAATTGCTTCACTCCCTACCAATAGTTAAGGTGCCAATGCAAACCAGGTCGATCGTGAGGTTCTGTGGCAGTCTGTCATTAAAATGTTTGCCAATGAAGTACATTAACCTTATACAGGCTCTCTACTCAAACACTCCTGGTCGAGTGAGAGCTTATGGCGAACTGTCACCAGAATTCTTTACTTCAAGTGGTGTCCCTCAGGTCTGTCACTCTCTCCATTCCTGTTTAACTCTGTCGTAGACATGCTTTTAGAGTTAACTTTATCTTTGTCTAACTTTTCAGGAGTGGACTTTCTACCAGGAGACACGCTTACTGGTGCTGATGACATAGTCCTATTCGGTGAAGACGCTGACAAAATGCAGTCGTTTGCAATATGTTGCTTCAAGATTGGGTTTTATCGGCTGATAGGGACTGAAGTAGTCGAGCATGTAGGCCACTTCACTCATAAATGCTGATGGCCTGGTGTGTGACGAAATCTCAGCACGGATACCGAAAGCTCGATTGGCTGTTGTTTTTAAAATCATGTCAAAGGAAAAGTGGACAACCCTGACAGACACAACTTGAAGTAATGTATGACAGTTGGCCATGAGCTCTCCTTCGACCAGTAGTGTTCGAGTAGAGAGCTTGTAAAAGATGAATGATCTACGGTTTATTTCCATAAAACCTCGCAATTGACCGAGTGCAATGTCACAAAAAGGTCCGGGAAGACAGCTATTGTCGGAAGCCGTATCGTGTGTCTGTGCTCTACTAACTGACGAAGTGTTAACAGGTGGTCTTTGTAGCCACGTCTAGTTCTGAAACTAGCCTGGTTTTTCACAAGAGGACTTTTTTTAGACTGGGATAATCAGTGATTGAGACCAGTGTCGTGTGATTACGTCCAGTTCTGTAATTGTACATAATATCCCAGTCAATTTCACTGCAAAAACTGGATCACAATCCTTAGAATATCTCAGGGTTCAATCTCTCAGCGTTCGCTGATCTACTTCACTTTTTCAAATTCATTAAGTGACGGAGGACTTGCATCGACTTGGCATTCAGGTTGACTGGAAATCGTGGGCAACCGAAGTGTGGCTGGAGACCCATTGAACTGATCCCTGAAGCGTTCTGCCCATCGAATGAATAATACGGCCAGCCTTTTCTGACGTAGCTTCGCTAACCGATAGATTTCTAATACCGGTTTCCTTGATAAGGCTGAGCGGTTGTCTAATGGTACCTATCATCGTTGGCTTTTCCATCTCTCTTGTTTTCGGTACCCACAATTGTTCGCGATCATTATGTAGGCTTCTTGTCAACCTGCGCCCATGCTAACCTCGATCTTCATCATGCTCAGAGCGGAATGAGTGAGTTTTCCGTCATCTATCAGTAGCTGCTTTCTCATTCCACCGTGTATCCCTAACCCTATGGTTTACTTTACTAGAAGATACCACTGCTGTTCCGCGGCCTTTTTGATATCGTTCCGAGCTGCTTCGGGGTGCGAATCACTTACATACCAGTCTGATTGTTTTTCTAGTTGTTCGTGAAATATGTTCCCAGCCTTGTTATCATTAAGAGGTTTCCTCGCGGTGTCTTTCCTACGCCGCAAACATAAACACCCTCGCACTAAAGCATGGTCTGAATATAGACAAGTACTCCAGAATGAGTGGCAGTCTTCAATAGAGCCTTTCTGCCGATGGTTAATTGGAATGTGGTCTAGTTGGATCCAGGGTTCAGTCAGTTTTGCCGGTCGCCAGGTCAAGAGATGTTTTCCTTATGCTTAAAGTTAGTGTTTGATAGAAATAGGCCCACACCGTGGAGGGGTTCTGGTTGCCAGAAAGGTCATCGGCCACGTGGCTTTTGAAGGAACCCAGCTTTCTTCACGAGACGTCATAACTCTTGTAAATAAAGACCTAACTCACATAGCAGAGTTTAAATGCTTTGAACTTTTCTTGTTTGCGATTTTTAGCGAGTTGGTTTTCTACAGGATAGAGTCGCCAAGCCCAACCCTCCTCCTTTATCAGGGCTTGGGACGGGCAGTAGCCTCGGAGTAGCTGCTGACTCGGTTCTTATTTCAAAATAATTTTGTTTTCATCGCAAACATTTGAACGTTTTTCCTCTTGTGTAGTTGAATATTTATTCGTATGTATCTTGTTTTAGTAGTGACCTTCCAGTGGAAATACCAAGACAGTGCTGCGATTCACAAAGGTAGTCTATATTCTGTGCTAATGTTTAGACTTTGTCACATTTTCAAGATCGAAATAATTCTTTAGTTGCCGTATCTGAATAGTCAACTTGATGCATTTCGAAATAAATCATTCAGAAACTTGCACTGTCAAATACTGTTCTTTGTTAAATTTATCTGATAAATGCATAAATACTCTCACTAGTCAACTCATTTTTAGCATGTTAGAATACTTGCTACTGAGCTCACATCAACTAGCACAGCTTTTTTGGGTTATTTCTTGATGATGGATTAATTTTTTGAAATAGAATGAGAGTTTTGCTCAATCTTTTTCTATTCACACTCAACTACCGCTCCATTAGTTATGTGATCGCAACCATACATTCGATTATTTTTGCCTAGTATTTACAACAGTTTTTGTAAGAAGCTTGATGAGATGCTTCTCGTTTGAGAATTATTACCAATTGTTGTCAATTTCCGTCAGAGCAAGTACAGTAGCTTAGTTTAATTTGAAATAGTCTGAACTTAGAGTGAAAAGCAAGTATTTTTCTACTGTGGTACTTCAGGTTAAACTCTGTGTCTCGAACCAAACTGTTCATTAAAATGCCTAAAAAAATTATAGTTGTTATCAAATTTAATTGAACCCTATGTATATATTTTTATGATAAAACTAGACCTTTAATATTCCTTTATTTGGCAGTGTTTATGCAAACAATGTACAAATTTAATGAAAATAATTTCAACTTTTACTCAACTCTCCAAACCTTACTGAAGTCATTTTCATCCTAATCTTTCTAGTACTATTTATATTTTTCTAAATTTATCATTTATGACAGTTTGGCTGAACCGGTAAATGATGTTTTTAAAAATGGGTCAACTACAAAACTCAATGATACTACTTTCTCTAACAAAGAATTTTCTGGTGAAGTACAACAGAGTTGGAATGCATCAATGTCTACAATAACTTTACCTGAAAATATACCGACAGATCAATTGTTAACATTGACAGTTGATGATCACGTAAAAATTATTAAAGAACACGACAATAACAAAGAATGGTATTTTGGTGAAATAACTGATAAATCTGGTATTGTGAAGAAAGGATGGTTTCCAGCATGTTGTCTAAAACCACTTATTTCTAATATAGAAAACGGGTGAGTAATTGTTGGTTTATGAATAACTGTACATATATATGAATATTTGAATGGATGAAATCAAGTATGAATGTTTGCCATCACCATGTAGTGGCATATACTATAATAGTACGCACCACAGACGAGTTGTCACCAGAGGACTACTCAAAACTAAGCAACGTCGAACACCCTTTTTGATGTATCACCAGAACCTTCATCAAAGTGTTCTTATAACCCTGTCAGTAATCGATCTTAGCACTCTCGAATCATACAACTTTGGTTTTTAGACTACTAAAGAGCTGTAAAATGGTCCATATTTCCGGACCTTATTTTTTTTAATCACCAATTATCTATATTCATCTGCTGTTCTGTTCTAATTAATTATTTGCGGTTTGAATTCTTCAGATTTGTTCATTTTGACCACGGTTGGGTTTTTGATTCAGCTGAATCGAGAGCTTTTCTTTCTGGGCTAAGCTGCCTAAGACAGTTCCTATTATGGGCTTTTCTATTGTAATCTGGGTCGTGTACGCGACCATCAGGTTCTTTAGCCTTTCATATGCATTCGGTCATAGGTTCAGCCAGTTTTTTCAAGCTAAGTGGAACTATTTTATTGTGAGGCTGGTTGGCAGTAACTAGTTTATTGTCATTCAGAACAACCGCCATTCGTCTTGTGTATTCACAGTCACCTCAAATCAAACCACCTTGCGCTTTCAGAATTTTATTACAACCTGGCTGTAGCTACTACCTCGATGTGGTGGTCGGGCCTACCTATCGTGATGACCCAAGTGAGCTATATTGGCTGGAACATATGTTCCCGTAGGTCCTACCATGCCAGGCCGTTCGGTTGAAGAACGATAGGACTAAGAGCAGCAACTCATGGTCTGAGGGTGAAGTCATACTGCTGACTGTGAAGGCGTGTGACAGCAGTAGGGTGTTTCTCTCGAACTACCAGCATCTACAGCGATGCTGCCTTCTTGCAACGAAAGGAAGGAATTAGAAAAGGTCAACCTTGAAAATGACACACTTCACCTTTCCTTACGGATTTCCGTCTCCGCTGGTAAGACCATTTAAAGCGCAACCTCCTATAGAAAGGCCGCACTTGACCGACCTGAAGCGGTTGTCGGTTAGGGTCTGCGGTCACACTTCCAGGTCGTCAACCCACTTTCGTTTTCAAGCTTCTTAAGAAATACTCTTCCAAGGTGTGAGCGACCGGGAAGTGACATCCGCCCTCATACTCGTAATAGCTCACGAAACCAAACTAGTCAGAATCAAATCAACCTATACCTTTTAATAAATCTCTTACTTCTATGACCAAACGTTCTCACATTGCCTTATGACCCCGCTCTGCTAATGAAAACGATTCTAGTTCGTGACACGTTATCCTTGTTCTGCTGAAACGCCGCCCTAAACTACATGTTGGGGTTTTTGATGTTTGAACCTTGTGCCAAATAAGACAACAAGCTTCCTTAACTAGGGCTTTAGGATCTCGTGTCATCGATGTATGGTGCTTGTCTGAAACGAACATACATGATCTGAGTCACGTCATTCATTTGACCTCACTACATACTTCATATAAAGAACCAACTCGATTTACTGTTCGTGAATGTGGAAGGCCCACTTTTGCTTCCGTGAGCTCATTGGTGAGCAGATATAGCATTGAGTCTCAGGGTACAACTATCCCCTTGGACTATATCCCAGTCGATATTCGCTTATGCACTGTCCGACTAGACGGAACTGTACGAACTCGGAAAGAGAGAGACACACCTTTGCCTCTTCATTGTCCTTGTCTACGCTCCCACCTCCCTCAAGAAGTGAAGCGCTTTTATATAGTAATCGTGGCTCAACCAGGTAGACTAAGCGAGAAGGAAAGACACTAGGGTTTGTGGATGGTGGTCCAGTTTTACAATGAGATTTACTTACATCATAGGTTGAATCTGACAGCTGTACGTAATCGGATATGACTGGTCTCGATCACTGGATGGTTTGTCGTATTTCTTTGGACAACCGCGTGAGTAATGCAATTGTTAGGAAATGAGTACTAAGTAAGTATGGCAGATCAAAAGATGAAGTAGTGAAACTTCATAAGTTGGATTGGTTGGGACAATTGTTACTAATCCCCAACCTCCGACTACCTCGTCGAGCTCCCAAACCAAAACATGTTACATCCATGAAGTCACTGACAACTCGACTGAGCCGTTGGTGTAGACTACCTGTTTATGGTCTGCGCGACAATAGTAAATGATGGTTATAGATTGTGAATGACCTGGCTCAAAATCGTTTTCAATGGCTCAAGTGTGTTCACTTTTCGTTTTCTATGAAATAAAACTCTGAATTTATGATGACCTTTATCTTCTCAAATCTATTTCACTGGTCAAATATCTAGTATTTTACTTATAAAAGATTTTACTAATCAAACTTTAAAATATTATCCAGAATTTTCCTAGTGCGTTGACATTTTTTATTTGTTTTTTACTATACGTTTTTAAATTATTCGACCAGTCATATGGAACATAATGGACCTTGCGCAGATGTACGTGGGGCTTAATTGTCCCGCCGCATTATTGCATCGAGATGAAACAAACCAATGAGGGTGAAGTTAATGAAAGTAGTAATATTATTAGTATCCTATGCTAGATCAGAAATAGTAAATTTGCGATTAGAGTTGCCTGAGAGTATATTTAGAATAGAATCGATGGGAAATATTAACAAATTATTCAAAGCTTCTGTTATCTTTTTTTAAATTCATTTCACTTCATATAATAAATCTTTTTTTTGAATGACCAAATAATGTAGGTTAAATTTGTCTTCATCACCAATCAACACATCGAAACAACCAAACATCCTCTTTTCATGTGTTGCGTTATATCCATATGAGTCGAATGTACCGGGCGATCTAAATCTCTCTGTTGGTGATTTGATTAGAGTTTATGTTATAAAAGATGATTGGTGGGAAGGTGTTTGTGAACGATCAAAACTCAAAGGTTTATTTCCGGCTAATTACGTTCGTAAACTAAGCAATGAAGTAAGTAGTATGAAAACCCTCTTCTTTTGTTTGAGATTTTTATTGTATTCCATATCTTTCCTTCACTCTCTCTGCTCTTAAAAATTAAAATAATATGCCCTTTTCTATTTTAATTTGTATTTTAATCAGCTTAATTATATAAAAAAATTAAAATAAATATATCTCACTAACGAAAGCAATCACACATTATAGAGCTGAGCTGCAGTCCGAGTTCAGATAGTGCCTCCACATACATTTGAGTTCGCCCAAATTTAATTTGGTTAGGCCTTTCGGTTTAAGCCATTTGTATAGCAACAACTTCTATGTACCACTGGTTTTCATTATCGTCCGGTTCGTATGAGCTGGTACGACTGAGCATTGCTTACGCCTACGCGCATACTCATACTATTCGCTTTGATATTAATCTCTTAAATATTTCGATGACTCAGGCATATATATATATATATAATTTTAGCGTAGATGAACTAATAATTAGCGAAAATTTCATTAAAATTGTGTTTTCGGTCAAATATGTGTATTTACCCCAATTCAATGATCATGCGATAACTGCCGATAACGTCTTTAATATGAATGTTATCAGTAAAAAATACTGAGATGTCGTATATTTTTCTTCTGGGATTCGTTTGAACGTGCTCGAAAATGTCAACATTTATTCTTCTCTATCTATATACTTTGATGCGTGAATGTTAACTGATGAATATCATTTGGGGAGGTACCGAAAAAAGGAGAGCCATTTTTATTTTTTTTTCATATGTAAACAGTTTTATTCACAATTTTAAATTATACCCACTTTGTGAACTATCTGTTGGAACTTGTTAAAATATTTTACACGTGATATTTGAAATACTAAAACTTCAAATTGTAAATAAATAAAACAACACATAAAATCGAACAACATTGTTTTCAAATTCTATGCTCATATTGATCGTGAGTTGAACTTTAAATTTATGATCTATTTCATAAACTAACTTAACATTCAAATCTCATTATGTTGTAAATTCATCAAGATGAATTAGACTATATTGTGTGAGTTATGTATTGATTTTTATGCAATTTTCATTGTATTTGTTTTTTTTTAATTATATAGGAAACACGTTCAATGGAAGAAAAGCTAGGATTAAGCGGATCAATTGTTAACCAAAAAGAACCTAACGACACAAGTGTAAGTGCACATTAGATTGCATACACCGTCTATTTCGTTTTTAAGCATGAATGAAATTAACTTTGTAACATGGCATTTTTCATAAAATTCATCAGTAGTGCCATTTTGACAAACGTATACTTCTTCAAATTATTTCTCGAGGAATGTAGAACTAGATTATTCATTTTGCTTTGTAAAATTTTTTATAGATTGCTGTAAATTACATAACAGTTGTTTTGTGTCAATCGTGACACCTACTGAATTATTATACAGTTTAATATTTCTTCGTAGCCTTCTTTCAACATACTTTACTGCTACATTTTATACTAGAATTCTCCATCTCTGTCGAAAATAACTCCTACATCATCACCAAAATTAATGGAAGCAAATCCTAATGACTGTATGGCTAGTTTACTTTCTTCATCAAATACATCTTCGACTTCATCATCTGGTGTTGTTGTATGCACTCAGCCGGAATTCGCTCGAGTAATTGCACCGTACAAAGCTACTTCAGCTGGTCAACTAACACTTCAACCTGGTCAAGTTGTACAACTTCGTAAACGTTCACATAAAGGTTGGTGGGAAGGAGAATTACAGGTAATAAAATAAACTAATGCATCAATTTGATACATCGGATTTTCTTGTCTTCTGAAACACTTAGTTTGCCATTTTTAATTTTTTAGGAATTATTTAGCAAGACACAAAGCTTTTTTCAAGCCTTTTGGTTGATAGATAGCTACTTGTCTTCCATCACAGTTAGCACATATTTCCGAAAATCCAACGACTATGCAGTATCATTTTTGCAATTTCACTAGTTTTTTTGCATGGAATTCGAAGACAGTAATCGATGCACGCGACAGATTCTATTCCTTATTGTTAGTACAGTAAAATTTCACATTTGCCAAGAAGCACATCCTAAGCATCATTTCATGATCATTCAGGTGTATTCAAGCTGTATCTTTTCAACATCCTGACTAAAGAAAATTATCCATTTGCATCCTCTTAGTTAGCAAATGGTTCTCCAGTGAATCTGTATGATCTGTAAAAAGCATATCTATAAAAGCATATTAATGTCAACCTGTTGAAAAATGAATTAGATAGCTAATGCATAACATCCTAATGTATAGTATCGGTTTACCTATGATAGTTAATCAAAATACAAGTAGGTGAGTTATTAAAGATTACGAAATTTCGATTTTCAACTAATAAATACACCAATCCTGAACAGACAGCTCCTTGTGTCATTTTTAATCATTAGATTCAAAAGTTAATCCAAGTATCTCTATATCGTACTGTGTCCATGACCGCAGTTTCATAATCTGATACAGATCATCGTAACTTTTTTTCACGATCAAAGTAGTAAAATTGTGGGTGCTTAAACTATTTCAACAATTACCTGATATTCAATACATCATCGTATCTGCTATGGTATTTTATACTTCCTGTATATAATTTTATTTTAAATATAAAGTGTAAGTATTTAATTATAGAGGTTCATTATGTTAACTCTTAACCATTTAGTTGTGCTTTTTAACACTGATCCAATTTGCTGCATTTTTTCAAGTAATAATGTTACATAACATCACGAAAGCTAAAATAATCTTTAAATAATGGATTTATTTATTCTTTCTAATAAACTGTAACTGGAGCCAAAGTATCAGTGAAATATGAACTACTATCAATCTCTAAGCAGTATAAATTGCAGAAGACTAATCTAATTCTTTCTTATATTAACCCGTGTCATAAAACTTATCAGTTTGAATGTCTGAAAGCTGACTTCCAAATAGACGTTATTTAAAATTAACGTACTAATTTATAACCTTTATTTCCTCGATTGACACACACCTGCATAGTTTTTGATCAATTGGTTCATGTAAACTGGTTAATCACAAAACATAATAGGAACATTGTGAAAAGTTAGTTTTTAATACAACCCAAGGATTGGTAATTTAAACTGAATATACTACTGTGCAAATTAAGTGATCTATGTTCCAATGGCATTTTGTATATTTTGAATTCGATTTAAGTCTGAGCGATTGTGGATAACTAACTAAGATCATAATCATTCCTGAATCTTGCAATCATTATGGAGTTGTATAGCGTACTCAGTTAAAGTCATCAAGCTTGCCGAAAAAGATACGGTAATTCGGTCTAAAAATATCAGTCCATGAATTAAAAGCGAAAAAATTTCGAAGGATGAAACCACTAATCAAGTCGATTGAAGAAAAGAATGTAGTTTAAAACATCACAGCTCTTAGTCCCGACTGCCGATATTAAATATTGTTCGCTGGTCCCCAAACGCCATGGAACGTCCGAGAGTGTGTAAAGTCTGCTCTCCCTCCCGAAATGTTCACAAAACGCCACTTTCACCAATGTTCTGCTCCATGCCTCCTCATGAAGGGTGTATTCTTTACGAAATTATGAGAACAAAAAGCAAATTTTCGGGACGGGTTTGGTGCGTATCGAGAAACTACATAGGTTATTTGGAGGACCCTGATTTCACACGAATGGTGTACATAGGTTCCAGAATCCTGACGGAGCAAATGGCGTATGAACCTATCGTTCGTCACTGGCTACCACGGGATTACCGCTCCTAATGTTGCTCCAATACCTTGCGGATTAGACCTGTAGATTAAAAACTTGGTGAGATGACATGAGAAAACTGCCTGTTTCAGTAGGTACACCCGGATAGTGTCTCAGCCTGCACACAAATTCAATAGTTTGTGTGGTGCATATATATTTTGTTTTTCTACCAATAATTCCTGTGTTTAAATATTTGAAATATAATATATTACTCATCAGAAGGCAAAATCCTCTTCCAGGATTTTTTCTAACTAGGCTACATATGCTACAGTTTTACGCAAAGACAAACACTTGTCCGCAGTTACATGAGATTCAATAGTTCTCTTGCTACACTGTCAGTCACTGACTCTCTATCAGCTGAATCTCCGTCCATAACGATATGAGTTATTTGTAGTTATAAAACAAATAATCAAGTATATAATTAAAGGCTATAGAACAAGATATGGAACACCCTACACGCACACTCTCTTTGTAACGCTATGATGCTATAGCCTGAAGTTTATCTTTTGTTTTGTAATTTTGGTCAGAGCTGTCTACATCAACTATTTTTATCCATCCGTTTAATTATGAACATTACTAGGTATCAATTTTTATGAAACAAGATGGTACTTGGACCATCGTTGTATTCGTTGGTCGAAAAAATGATTAAGTGCTTTTTAAATACAGACAGTTATAATGCTTCACTTTTGTCCACCATTTTTCGAAAGAAATTGTATTCACCAGGTCATCAGTAAATATTGCTCAGTAAAGGTCATACTCAGGTCATCTTAAAATTATGTGATCAAAAAAAATATTCATTCTTACTAATTCATACTGTATGTTTAAAAATTGACATTTCAGTGTATATTTTGTACTGCATCTCCATGGCAATAATGTACTTTCAAGTGATATAAAATACATTATAAACCAACATGTTTGTGGTAATCGTATTGCACCGATAAACTTACTTACTTACTTACTTACTTTCGCCTGTTACCCCCAATGGAGCATAGGCCGCCCACCAGTTTTCTCCAACCAACTCTGTCCTGGGCTTCTTCCTCCAGTTCTGTCCAATGTTTGTTCATTCCTCTCATATCTTTCTCTATTTCTCGGCGTAGTGTGTTCCTTGGCCTTCCTCTTTTCCTTTTGCCTTGAGGGTTCCATGTGAGGGCTTGTCTCGTGACGCAGTTAGGTGCTTTTCGTAGAGTGTGTCCTATCCACTTCCACCGCTTCTTCCTGATTTCCTCTTCCACTGGAATCTGACTTGTTCTCTCCCACAGTTCGTTGTTGCTGATGGTGTCTGGCCAACGAATACGAAGTATTTTACGTAGACAGCTGTTAATAAACACTTGTATCCTCTGGATGATGGCTTTGGTAGTTCTCCATGTTTCCGCTCCATACATTAGAACTGTCTTGACATTTGTATTGAAAATCCTTATTTTGGTGTTGATTGATATCTGTTTGGAGTTCCAGATATTTTTCAACTGTAGAAATGCAGCCCTCGCTTTGCCAATCCGTGCCCTCACATCTGCATCCGATCCACCTTGATTGTCGACGATGCTGCCCAGATATGTAAAGGTGTTAACGTCCTCCAAGGCATCTCCATCAAGCGTGATTCGGTTGGTGCATGTTGTGTTGCATCGGAGAATTTTGCTCTTTCCTTTATGTATGTTGAGACCTACTGCTGCAGAGGCTGCTGCTACACTCGTCGTCTTCTCTTGCATTTGTTGTTGAGTGTGCGATAGAAGAGCCAGATCATCTGCGAAGTCCAGATCGTCCAGCTGCGACCTAACTGTCCAGTTGATACCGTGCTTCCCTCCAGCTGTTGACGTTTTCATAATCCAGTCGATCACCAGGAGAAAGAGGAAGGGTGAAAGTAAGCAACCTTGCCTGACACCGGTCTTTACCTCGAAAGAGTCGGTTAGCTGTCCTCCGTGCACGATTTTGCAGTTGAATCCATCATAAGAATTCCGTATGATGTTGACTATTTTCTCAGGCACACCGTAGTGTCGAAGAAGCCTCCACAGTGTTTTCCTATCCACGCTATCGAATGCTTTCTCGTAGTCGATGAAGTTGATGTAGAGTGGTGAGTTCCATTCAATTGATTGTTCCACAATGATCCGTAATGTAGCAATTTGGTCAGTACACGATCGATCCTTCCGAAATCCGGCCTGTTGATCTCGAAGTTGGGAATCTACGAAGTCCTTCATTCTGTTTAACAATACCCTGTTGAAGACTTTGCCTGGTATTGAAAGAAGAGTGATGCCTCTGTAGTTTTCACACTTGCTGAGGTCGCCTTTCTTTGGTATTTTGATCAGGTATCCTTCCTTCCAGTCTGATGGTACTTGTTCCTCATCCCAAATCTTCTTGAAGAGGATGTGAAATATTTTCGCGGTTGCTTCTACATCTGCTTTCATTGCCTCTGCTGGAATGTTACCGATAAACTAGTTTCAACATATTATGAATGTGTGTGTTTTCTCTAATAGATAAAGCTTTCTCACACCTTCCTAAATACGTTTTAAAAATGAATTGGCTAATATCCTACTTGATATAATTTCGTTGTTGTAATGGTTTCAGTCTTCAATTCTTACTTACTTCCATTGTAAGATATTGCACTGTTCATGTTGACTTAAATGATAAATGATGCTGAAATATTCTGTTATCTGGGATTTTGTCCTGGTCATATATTTTTATCCTTCTCCAAATTTAAATAACTAGATTGATAGTAAATTTGAATGACTAACTGATCATTTTGATGAAATCCGCTTAAGATAGTAATGTGCCTGTAGAGTGTGTTGATGTACTGGAATGCATTACAAAAAAAAAGTACGAACACTTACAAATGATAGTTTTCATGTTAGCTTTTCAACTATTAAGTCCCAGGTTCCTACCCTTCTCTGCCTACCTTACCAACCGGGTAAATGAATGAATCTAGCTATTATTTATTATATTGGTGGTTATTCCTACCACCGATTGTGCTTCGTTGTGGATAGAAATAACATTTACACCATTCCATGTGATTAGTGCCTTATCATTCCGTTTTATTAATTATAGTATTTTTTTTAACATTTAAGTATGAGCAATTTATTTAGCTTTTTCGTCTTTTTACAATTCCCTTTCTTGTTTTCTTTTTCCATGTGCTTTATGTATCTAACTCACCTTGTTTCGCATGTATGATTATCCTTTTGTTGGTTTATTTTATAACTTATGTATATATATTCCGTAATACATTGCTAAATGCTTTCCCAAATCAAAATGATTATTGTTGTTACGGAACACTGACATCAAGGTGTTCTCTGGATCAAATTTGAACTTGATTGACAGTGAATAACGATTGATTGATTGATCGATTGTTTGATTGACTGTTGTGAAAATTTGTTATGAATTATTATATTCAATCTATCTGCTGTTTTTGTTAGCATATATTCTATAGTTTTTTTCATTCTTGTCATTTCCATTTTCGAGTTGTTTCAGTCATTCATTTATAGCGAGGTAATTATTTCCATATTGATGTTTATGAACTGAAACAAGTGAAAACCATGAGAAAATTATGTATGCCAAAATACTTATCTTATATGTTTTCAATCTACCGCGTCTGTGTGTGTTTGTGTGTGTACTTTCTAAACACGTAATCTGAATCATTTTTCTCGACATATCTTCTCTGCTTATGTTTTCGTTATAACCTAAAATCAATTTTTATTCCGAATCATTCACCATAAATATAAAATTGCTTGTGCTTTGGTAACGTTTTTTTCTAAAAAATATTAATCGAACTGCCTAATTTTTGTTATTTTCACATATATGTGCAAATTTGTCTGCTTTTCGAATTGTATTAATTTTTTTAATGTCCCATCATCATCATTTAAATTGCTAGTTGTGGTTTATTGATTTAAGTGTTCGACCATTGTTCATCAGTGTTAACGAGTTTAAGCTTGCTTCCGTCATTTTGTTTGACTCAACTACCATCAGCTTTCACACAACTCACACATACTAGTGCACTAACGTGTACGTAGTTAATGCGTGATTATTGATCAGTGATTGTTAAACATCGTTCATTGTTAAAAACACTAATGATTATTCTGTTCATGAACGGGTTGTTTAGAAGTTGAAAAATTAATCTTTCAACTAATTAGTCTGAATTTTGAACTTCATTCGGTAATGTGAGCTGTGCCAACGAACCAGCGGTAAACGTCCTTCATTCCTCTTGTTTAGCCACCACTGAGTGAATATGACTTTGATAATTGTTCTCACTGAGATAATTTTAAGTGTATAATAAGCGATGATGTAACTACAAAATGTTACAATGTCAAGGAAAACGACCATACAGAAATATCGGAAGTTGAAACTGAATTTATTTCTGAAAACATCAGTTACTTTGATATTCCGTTTCTAGGGTTATAGTGTTTGGGCCTAGTACGCCAGGATTGGGGGCCTGTCAAAGTGCGTTACCTATAGTTAACTTCTACTCATAAATCTCTCCAAATCCAACTAGAGATTATATTTTTGTTTTCACCGTTTTTTGATTAGAACAAAACTAGTTCACCACGTCCTACTTTGTGGCTGTAAAACGTGGCCCGTAACAGTTGAAGCTATTCGTACTTTACTGGTTTTCCATCATAGGTGTCTCCGAAGCATTGCTCGTGTATCCTGGGACAACCGATTAAGCAATGCAATTGTTTGGAGACGGACTACTAGGTAAAGATGGCAGATTGATAGATAAAGTATTGAAACTTCATCATTCAGCATTAGTAACACATGTCCCAGCCACTGACTGCCTCATCGAGCTATGTTTTGCGGTGTAGGGGTAGGTTGGAAGAAAGCTCGGGAACGGCCAAACCAAAGCATATCATAAATCAAGTCAACTTTACTGAGTCATGTTGGTATGTGTACACTAGCTGGTTGGGGTCCGCGAAACATTAGTAACTAACAGTTTTGAGACCTTGAAGACATGGCTCAAAATCGCTTGCAATGGCGCCGGTGAATCCACTCTTCGTGCTCACTGAAATTCTAATCTCCTGAACTCCTCATGACCGGATTCGGAGATAGTTCAGACTCATTTCTAACTATTTTATAATTTGATCTTAAATGGGAGTTTTTCAAGTTCTTGGTAGATTGTGAAACAAGTTCTTTTATAAAATAATGAATCGCTCTACTAACTCGAACAAACAATCATAAGGCTGGCATTGTACTGTACCGAAAAATCCAGGGCTGATAATAGCACTTCCTAAGTACGCATATCTTTTCACAGGAAGCGCTTCGCCGCTTCATAGTCTTAGTGTTCTAGATATGCTCATTAGTGTGACCTTCAGGCGATATTTAGGTGATCCATACAGGATGCACACATGCAAAAGGGACTGATCAGTGCAGTCCTAAACATCAGTATGAAAATTCAAACAGCCAATACAAAGGAATAATATCCAGTACGCTTGCTCACAATTTCCACTTTTCTGGTATAACTCTATCCTTTGTCAAATATAGTTATGAATCTGATATCTTATTGCACTTCATCAAATCACTTCTTGATCCCTCTTATTCTAACCCCCCTGCCTTCTTTCAATTACGTATTAGTATTGTCTTTAAAAGCTTAGTATATTGAATGTTGAATTTCCTTCAATAGTTCTATCTCATAATAATATATTGAGATTGGTGTTATAGTTTAAAATTAATGTAATTCAATTACCACATACAAGTTAGTTTACTTTTTGTATATAAATCGGTCTCGAATGTTTTATACTACACTGAAATTTCAGAATTTAAACTGGTCCTAATTTAAGAATCAAGCAAGTGCTTTAAAAGTCTCAGTTGTAGTTTTTCCAAAAGTTAGCTGATCAGTCATGATAATAATAATTCGATAAATTACCCGACGTCAAGTTGAATATACACTACTTCCTATTTGAAATAAGTGCTCACCTCAAATAGCCCAAAAGTCGAGCTACTTATGGAATGTGTTTCTCAAACAAAATAATCCACTTGTATTCAAAACAAATCAAAGTACTACATTCAGTAGTTTAATAACGCTTTACTCTTAAATACTTCATCGTATTTGAATCCTAAAATATACAGTTTGTTAAGTAAATATTCCTTTTCTACATTTTACATTCTATTTGACACTGTCAATCATGGCAATTTGGCTGGGTTTTACCGAATTTTGCCTTGATCCTTTTAAGTTTAGTTATCTTCGTGAAAATGACTGAAGCATGTTGGTAGTGTTTTACTGTTTCCGCTTGATGACATGGACGAATGTTCAAGGGATCTTTTACCCAAAAAATCACTTACTGTCCTAAATACTCACATTATTTCAGCTATCAACTTGGTGTCATGTACATAAATATTCAATTATTGGTTAAACTAAGTGTTTATGAAATGATTCAACTTTTTTTCTAACGCTGTTCCCTTACCTATTAAACAGTGATTTCCTATCAGGAAGCTGGATTTTTTTTTGCTATCATAGCTTAATTTAAGCAAATAATTTGCATTCGTTTCAAAGTATCATTAATATTTTCATTGTACTTGATGAATTCACCTTATATGTTTACACCTTGATCATTTAATGTGTTATTTTTGAATTGCTGAATTGCTTATTTCGGTTACATATTTTATTTTTCAGTGTTGGCTTTATGTTGAAGTGCATTCTATATTCGCTTCTATTATAATCTCTCTTTTTATTTACTTTGTTATTATTTTATCTGAAGCAAAGAGGTCATATTCGTCAAATTGGCTGGTTCCCAGCAGATTTTGTTCGACTGATTACACCACTAACAGTGAATGGATCGTCCACCTCATCTGGTATGGGTTATTTTGTTACTAGTATTTTTCATTTTCATTTGTAACTCTTTCGAACTAATTATTGTGTAATCATAATTCCCAAAATGTATTTGTATCCTGGTCACTTCTTTCAACAGAATCTATTACAAATTAAGCATGGATTTGTCAATACACCTCAACTTATTGGGTGTCATCCTATAACTAAACAACGTAAGATGTTATCAAAGTCTTGTCTCCCTATTGATGATGTTATATCTTCATTCAGTGCTTCTTTAAGCAATCTTTAGTGAAAATCTTGTCATATCGATTTCGTAATATCATACTGAAGGTATTTTTCATCACCATTGTTATAACATGACTAGTAATCAATATTCATGTTATACAACTCATTAACTGTGTTTCTGTTCGTTTTAAACAATTCATAAATTTGAATAAATTATAAGTCAACTAACTTGGACTTCTCAATCAATTCACTCATTTTAGGAAAACAATTTGAGTATAAATTAATATAATGTAAAATGTATGAATGTATTTGTGTATATACATTTAAATAAATTCATTAATTAACTAACTAAAAAAACTGCTTATTAAAATTACTTAGACATATTATTGAATTAGATTGATGTTGCAAAAAAACTAACCAATTTATTCAACCGTGTAAGCTTTAAGATTTTTGATGATAGACATCTTTGAAACATTGATCACGCATATCGCGGAGCAACAGATGATTTTGGTCTCTGTTGGAGTCAATCAGAGGAAGAAAGCGATGGCATTTGCTCATGATGTCATCGACTGTTGAACTAATCTTCTTAGATGAATGCAGATTACCTGATTAGATTTTGCTTGATAACCGTAATCAGTGATTTAAGAGGTTGGGCGATAAGATGCAGTCGGTCAGATTTATTTGAACTTGCATTATTGCGTCGTATTCACTCTTTTTTTGGCATCATTGCTGCAATATTGTTTTGAATCTTCTTCTATTCATTTCTTTAAATTCGTCTCCTCATTTTCATGTAGTATGCGAATTCACGTCATTACATATGTCAGGCTCTACGTTGATCATAACTAATTGACCGAGAAGTGTGTTAAATTAAGCTAATGGTATTCATTTCATATGAGAGATGTTGTGACTGATTTTATAGAATGCTTACTCATAACGAGCTAAAACAATTTATGTATTTATCTATTCCAGTCACAATTTTTTTCCTCTTTATTGTAGTTTTGTATTATATATTTTAATTTTATCGTTTGTCAACGATAAATCAATAAGCACCATTTTTATTTTGCCTCTGTAATGTAATTGCTATTTCATATCTGAATTACCTCCTTGTAGGTCAACAACTGTCCAAATTACCAGATTCCACTAATAATCAGAATGAAAATAGTCCAACAAGTTTAAAAGTGTTAGCATCAAAAGCGGTGACTACATCGAATTCTGTTACTGATAATTCTGTACCAAGTCAACAATCACAATCAAATCATGTGGAATTGATGCAAACTATTTTTAGTTATAAAGCTGTTCTTGCAGATGAATTAACATTTGAAGAAGGTGCTATTATCACAGTACTAGGTCGAGATGAACCTGAATGGTGGCGTGGTCGACTTCAAAGTTCAGGAGCAGAAGGACTTTTCCCTGTTAATTATGTACGTCCGTACACTCTTCCTTCTCAGCCAGAAAAATCCGTAAATCAACGTTCTATTGCTTCGTCTAAAAGTAAGCTAATGTATTTTATGGAATGTTTCGTATGGTTTGTTTTTTTAAAGAACTGCTTTGCTTTTTGCATTTCATTTGTTTCTAATCATCTTAGTCTGTGTAGACAACAATGCCGCTTAATTTAACTGAGTGTAAGAACTGTGATTGTATCATGACATTATACTTCTAACTTTCGGCATCCTCAATATATGCTCTGTAGTTTTAATTCTGTGATAACTTTTACTTCATAGGTCAAATTTCTGACTGTCCAACATATAATTTGATCAACTTAATAGTCATTAAAAAAATGTTAAATACAATCAGTGAATTTCATTGCTATTAATCGACATTGAAATAGTCTATTGTTTCTAATGACCAAAATGTTAAAATGTAGTACATCTTATATATTTCTATATCATTACTTTATCTTAATATAAAATACTGTACTTCGACCATTTATCATATAACCGTCTAGTATATACTGTTTCATTTTTCCCAAAATAAAGTTACTCGAAGTAATTTTATGTTCCAGTTATACATACTACTAGTCATTTATCTTGACAAAATCTCAATATAATATTGACCAGTTAGATATATCATAGTCTCAAAATAATCAATCTCTATTGAAACCTACTTACCTTCTAGTTAAAACAGTGTAATATGACGTCCCTTTTTTGATGAGTTTCTAGTTAGATATACTAATGCATGTTTTGTGTTTTGTACTCATAGACAACAGTCTCAAAGCGTTTACGTAGAATTTGTGGTTATTATTTAGCCAATAATGATCATCCCTAATGAACTAAAACCTACTCTGTTAAGGCTCATAGCCATAGACATTTTTTGTATCAATTAGTAGTACCCCAAGGTTAATAATCAACTGCGTAAAAGTAACATACGCTAGACATCTTACTTTGCGACATTTACATTCAAAAGTGTCGTACTTTATATTATCGTACTCAAACCATACTTAATAACAACTAAGACTAGTCTATTCTAGTGAACATGGAACTAGGTCAATCGATACTGAAAACCACATATTATCCTTAAGTTGAAATAATTATAAACAGTGATATAACAAAACACCTTGAACCCATTTTCACTATCAAATCCACCAAAAATACTTTACAAGCTTACTACATATTATCTATATCTATGAAACATATTATTCTACTTCTCAAGTGCATAATTGTGTCTTATTGCTAAATTTTTTTCCTACAGTCACAAAATGATTCAGTGATAATAGACTCACTAAATTATGAACAATAGCGGTTGAGTTGTACATCATTCATTATCATCTTCCAAATGTAAGATAAAAGAGATAATCATTTTATTTTATTTTCTTTTAAAACAAGCCTTTCCTAACTGTAAATTTTATTGTTCTAAATGGAAATAACTATAAAATTTTGAGTTTTGATTAATTTTCATCAGATTTTTTTTTTAAAGTTGTACATTTTTCTCAATAGAGATTAAATAATAAATAGGCTTTAACTTACTGGTTAGTCTTATTTGGTCAAGGTTAACAATGTCATTTGTGTGTGGTCGTAATTATTGAGTGCATATTCATTTTATTATGTCACATCTGTTTTTATGTGGAAAGTTTAATTTATTACTTTTCGTAATAATATTTTTGGTTGTAATGCATTGTGTTTGTGCTTTTGGAAATCGATACACCAAAGTCAATCATTCAATTTTTTTCATACTGTTTGACAGTTCATCATATTGGTAGTGTGCAATACCCGTCTTTTCATTAACTAAATATTTGTAGCACAAAGATAGATTTATCGAAAAAAAGAAACCAATTAAACTATGACTCAAACACTGACTTTTTCCATAATACTGATACAGTATCACTTTTCTAAATATCCATGATATAAATATGTAGTGTTATTTTAGCTCAGGTAGTTTAATCTCAAGAATTCGTCTTTTTAAATACCACCATCTTCATCTTGCACTTCGGAAGGAAAGGCAGAGAACACGTCTTCAAAATCCTCATTCTATGTAATCAATATTCTCCATGGTACAATACCACTTTAATCCGATGACTGAGTCGTTAGTGAATTATTTAGTTTGCAAAAATCTGTTTGTTAGTTTATCGTTCTATCCAAGAAGATCATAATTTAGCCTTTCCTATTTGAAATCTTGTGGTGTATTTCACGTACCATCCACAGGATGATTATTTTTCCAATATCCTTAACTTTTTTTAGAATGTCAGTATCCGCTACTGTGAACATACTAACTGCAACATTATCATACACATACCCTACTTGATTCGGAAACAATGCTTAAATAAAGACACATTTGTGTATAATAAATTAAAACATTGAGATTTCAATGATTTCATTCGTTCTCATTGTTTGTCACAAAATTATCACTCAAACGTGCTTCCCCCCATCCCTAGTATCTAACATTTTCTCAATGAGTTTTATTTCAGTTGTCTGAATATGTTTTTGTTATGTTTTTTATTGATTCTTCATCATCTCTTTTTCTTGCTAAATTCGAATTCAATCCTGTGATCTCCGTACTTTCTCACTCCCTGCCTATATATATGTGTGTAACTTCGCCTTACACCAATCAACATTAACTGCTGGTTTGTACCACTATGTGAATCACACGTCAATATGCGCTGATATTATAATGGTAATTATTATATGTGTATTTAATGTTATGTTATGCAATGATTGTTATCTTATATTTCTCCAAAATAAAATAACATGTATCTTCCTTGTTTTGTATATATAACTTATTTACCCATATACTTATGCTTTCTGTTTGCTGTGCTCATGTCTTTTTTTTCAACCTGCTTCCGTGTCATTGTTTTTCAACTTAATTGTGTGTTTTTGCGCACGCTAACCATTTCCTACAATATATGTCTATTTATAATGTACCTTACTAACCATCTAATCTATTTTAACTTGTTAAGCAGTTAATGCAGATCATTGAAAACTGAATGTATTGATATATATATATATATATATATATATATATATATATATATATATCACTTTTTTCTTAATTAGGATAATCTTTCTTATTTGTGTTATTCTTTCTGCTTGTCCTCTACCTACATACCCTATTTTGTAAGATTATTGTCAACACTATCATCGTTTACTGTTTAGAGACAATACTCTCGTTTGCTTTGGTCATTACTATCCATACATGTCGTATACTTGCACAAGTTATTCCATATTATCCTAATTTTATTTGTATGGTCTTCTTTATGTTATGACTTTCTCCACTTAGTGTTGTTTTTCTTATTTTCAAAGTTTCATCACTCTGGTCACATTGTGGCAACCGGTTTCTCATCAGCAATATCGCTTTTTAGCACAACTACTACTTAACCGTCTGCTCTTCACTTCCCCTGTCCCCGTTGTCGTCTCCTATGCCTAACACCACTCAAAAGTATCAGAAAGAATGAAATTACCAAAGAATATCTTGATTTCCCGTTCTCTCTATTATTACAATTACATTCTTTGTTTATATATAAAACTGGATATGTTTCTTTTGTAAGGTTATAAATTTGATCAGTTTCTGTCTGCAAAACAGTTACAGTTTCATGATATATACATAATGTGTAAACGTTATACATACCTATGTATCTAATAGTTGTATATATCAGTATGCGATTTGTGCATATATATACTGGTGAATGCTGCATGATTATGTATTAAACAATGTTTTAATTTTGTCATGTCTTTCTCTACAAGCCGTTAAATCTCATTTTGTGTTGGTTTGTTTTTTCTTGAAAAAACACTACGAAATATATTACTTTGACTCAATGCATTGTACGCTACAGCTAATCATGATATTATTATTACTATTATTATTATTATTATTATTATTATTACTATTGTCATTACTAACTTATCTGACTTTTGTTTCAGCTGCATTGTGTAAAAGTTTTTTATATTTAAAGTAGTATGAACAAGATAATTATGGTAATTATTATATACTATGAATATTCTTGTTTATTATTCTCTGCTTAGTATTATGAAACTACTAATAATAGTGTAAGCTTGTGTGTTCAAGAAATTAACTACTCTGATGCTGCTAATATATAATCCATGAGTTGTGCTCTTTATGTATTCAACAATTAAGCATCGATCTCATTCAGCATTGTATGTTAGGGTATCTGGAATGGTTCTCATCACTAATACGTGTATCTACTTCTTCGATCATAAATATCAACTGTCAGAAACCACTTTTAGGAAGCACTTTTTAGCAAGTTTATATTATCTGTAGTGGTTAAAGTAGTCTCGTTTACACAATACATGAATATCGTTCTCAATGAATACGTCTGTAGCTATCTGAACTTAGTGACTCAATGGATACCTTTTTAGGGTTTGAGTTAGAAATCATTGCTTCATGTCTCAGTGTCAATAACAAAACAAAGATGCGATCACGTACTGCTAACAAGTCCCAAATACGATCAAATGCACATCCTGGATTCTAGTGCTAACAACAGTTCAAGTATCGTATAAAATGTGTTGGGTGAAAGTTTAATTCCCAATAAGTTATAAGTTGTTCTTATAAAGATAGCTATCCAAGTTGTTTATTTTGGCGGTTATTGAAATTCAGTGAGTTTTTTACTTACCAAACTAATGAAACCACTTACTAGCCTATCTTCTTAAAAAATCCTCGGAATATTTTGAACGAAATCACGTTTTATGTGTTAGTTGCATTTTATGAATCTTCTATTTTGCAACGATGTTTTTCTGTTTTTTTAATGGTGATTTGTCACATTTTACTTCAACTTATTGATCTTTTTGTTTTTTACGCCATTTTATTAATTTTTAATATGTTATTCCTCAGATACTTTAATGTATTGCGGAAATAGGCTTCATTACACTAAACACGGGACTAATTGATGAGGTCATTTTTCGTTAACTTTAATTTCTAAATTGAGTTCAATAAATATATGGTTATTAGTAACTTATTTGCAGATTAGTTTTACAGCTGCAACGTTAGCTATTCGGTCTTATTAGTTCTTGATAAGACTAAATGCTATCTGAAAACAGCAGATTTTTCTCAAAGCTTCAATGATGCTTAATAATTATTATATTCCGCTCGAGTGAGAATGGACCTTATTCTGTTTCCAGTTAAACTTACTAGTTCAAAGTTTTAATTGATATGTCTTGGCGAATGCTTACCAGTACATTATCACTAGTTCCAATAATATAAATCAATACCGTAAGGTATTTAATAGTTTTCTGGCTAATACTTCTTATAAATAATGAATCGGTCACCTTTACACCACTATTAAGAATCTAAAAGCATTGGATGACCGTTTCATCTTGGTATGGGACTCAACAGTGGTCATTCATGTTTGTTAACCGTTAATTAATTAACGGGATTTCAACAGTTTGCGTAACTAGAAACATACATATATTAAGTATATGTCCTAAATGCCAGTGTTATACGTATATGTTATTATTGGATGAATTTTTTGAAAACTTTAGCAGTTTGTGATGACGCGTAATGCTCACTAACTAGTCAAAATTAGTGTGTTTCCTAAAAAATGGATTCGTCACACCCAGAAAGTTGTTTAATAATAGTTAATGACATTTTGTGATGTTCCAAATGGTTTGAGATTAGAATATCTGACGCTTATCAATTTGATTGAATTTGCTTCTTTAGGAAGTAAATGAACAGAAAACGACATAAGTGTAGGAAGCAACGTAAACCAAGTTCATAAACGTCAGAAAATCCAATTTCTACTCATTGGGCTACGACAATTATATCATTATTTTACTATTCACTATCTATCTAGTTCCCAGTTTATCTCTATATTTGTTTGTCAGGAAGTGAGCACAAAATAGATATTTATCATGCAAGTAAACTATCCATGAGAAATGTTAAATGAAACTACATTTACAGTGCATTATATATATATATATATATATATATATATATATATGCATTTAATTATACTGCGTTTAAAAAGTGTTAGCAACTCTTAAAAGCTTCTACTAAAAAGGAAATCTAATTGCCTTGCGTACTTGTTTACCAGGTGACTTTCCCGAAACGCTCTTCTAAATAGATTCTGGTGTCAGCCGATTGCAGAAATCAGTCAAAAATTCGAAACTATGCATGTTTTAAACCTGTTCTTCATTATTCATTCAGTTGACTATTGAGGCAGGTATAAAGATTCAGTTGATCGATACACCACTTAAACGAACAATTCTTCCATTTCTGTTATCGCTAAGTGATTACCTCTTGTATAATTTTAGTAATGTCACATTAGCAAATATGCAGGACAAGCCCAATGATGTCTCTATGCAGAAACAATTTTGATCGATTGAATTTGAAGCAAGTTTCTTTTCAGTTCTTTTGTTTCTTTAGAAAAATTGAATCTCATATTCCTATTTCTTGGACAGTTTCCTGAGGTCTTGGTGAATTTAAATTTAACCGTTGTTGTATATTCTCGTAATTGTTTTCATGCATGATTGCCTGTTGTGTTGTTGTAACTTTCGCTATTAGTTTGATGTTGTAAGCCAATGTGTTTCATTTATTAACATAAGTTAACAGTGTTGTGTTTTAACCAAAACTACTAACATTGAAGTATTAGTTGCCAAGGTAATTATCATCCGTCATATGATGTTCATTTTAATTTCTGTGGCGTACAACAATTAAGATTTTTCTCATTCCGTAAATGATATATCTTTTATGAAGAATGTTTGTTTTTCAGTTGTAGAATAAATTAGTGTTTTCACCAATCACTTAATTTTCGTACAAGATTGTCTGAACTACAAACTGGGTGTAGTTTTCCTATCACACTCTAATTATAATCATAAAATGTTACACGATTGACCTTTATAGCTTTTTGCGCAATATATATAAGAAGTATATATGCTGCCTACTACAAACTCTCATATGTAAATTTAGATATGGCTGACTTGTCCCTAGCTGTTGTTTATTTACTAGGTGTGTATTTTCTCACACCTGCCGTAATAAAGCCATTAACATAGCCATTACCGTATGTATGAACTTCTCTGACTATTTGTATACCGTCCATTGCATATCTCTGTCTATTATGATTCATTATATCTTAAATATCTGCGTTACTGATTAACGAACTTCAATGTTGAATATGACATGTGAGGCGACAAGGAAAATGGAATAATCAAATACAGTTAACCAACAGTGACGACCTAAGACTGATTATGGCATTATTTCTTTTGTAAATGAAATTAATAATAATTTGGTAATTGTTTTTACAATTTTAAGTCATTTTTAGACATAGATTTCCAATTTCGTGTAGGTATTTCACACATTTTTCATGTAATTTTCAGTTTTATTTATTATCTATTTTTCATCTTAAGTGGATACTGATATTTCTAGAAAACTCCGTGAACGTGATTTCGCCATTAGAGAACTTATCGAAACTGAATTAACATACAATAATAGTCTTATTGAAGTGAGAGATGTAAGTTTTTCGAATTGCTTATTTTCTTTATTTATTTATATATTACTTGTGTGCCCTATAAAACAACCAGACATATAAGTTTAGTTGATTGCATTTGAAAATAAACTAAATAATTTGTCCCAACTATCTAATTTAACTAACATACGCATATGCATGTAAACACGTCGTTTGATATGTTCGAACTATTACGAGTTTACCTAAGTCGGGAAACGAGAGCGAGTATCGAGGATTCGGCGACAGGACAGGCTACTCTAATCCGTTTACCTCAAATCCCCTTTGAGTAAAAGAAGAAGATTTGATGTAAAGTAGAACTTGTGCTCTACAAGCATCCAGAAAGTGTGAGGTTCATGCCCAGAAGAGAATCAGGATCCCGGACTAGGGATCCGGGTCCAGGTCATGAGACGTTACACATAATGCGTATTTATACAGTGGAGTCGAATAGGAACAACATTGAAAGTTAGGACGACCAATAGGAAACAACATTTGAAGTGACACTGACAGTCAGGACGACTAATAAGAGACAACATTTGTAGTATGTGACATTCATAGTTAGGACGACCAATAGGAATTGACCAATAGAAATAAACTTACAAACAATTAGGATATTTGATGAATATCCTAACACACATCATATGTATTCATTTAAATTTTGTGTCATCAATACTGTCTCATATAAACACTGGTTTCTTTGTGGTGGCCTTAATTCTGGGATGTGATAAATTATGCATAATTTCAAAACTTTCCGTCTAAACGGCTTCGGTGTAAATGGTCGTGGTCGGCCCGTAGAAATATCGCACGTTATAATCACTTTTTCAAATCGAATTTCTTTGAGTACGAAGACACCGTGCTTGTGGACCTTAGTCTGCTAAGGTCAACATCCATATTTTGCGATGCGGCTAGTTTTTGATAACCGATTCCAGATTGGATGAGATTGTTTATCAGCCTTCGGGATAATGTATTTGCTTCTTCGTTATTAATGTTTTCGATACGATTAAATTCATAGAAATGTATTCGGTAATTATTCCTTTTATCACCACTGAATTGTCTCTGTTCAAGAGCCGATTTCGTCGAGATTCTTCAAGAAATCAATACCAGTTATAGGTACGGATACATCTGCTCTGGCGAATTCCTAGCAAAATGGAGTATTTCAACCAAAATTCAAGGTTACTCTTCGCTTGCCATGTTTGTATGTCGGATTTATGTGCTGCATTAAGTGTTAGCAAAAACCGGCGGGATCGTTTACCTATTGTATTATCTCTAAATGTGCGTGGTGTTCTACATTTCTGAGCCCGGTCACCGTGTAATGAAGGAGAACACAGGTGAGGGCAACCGAATTGTATTTATCTCAAATTACAGAGTTAATTGGTAAAATAGGAAAACCATATCACAAATCTTTAATTTGCAAAATATCAATCCATCATATCGAACTGGACTGTTCCTTTTGCAAACATCAATCCATTGTCTGACATTTCACTGTTCATGCGTTTCATACAAATCTCATTGTGTTCCCGCTCTTCCTTTCTTGATCTTCCCCCATCTTCTGCTGCCAGACATTACGTTTTTACTCGCGTCATATACTATTCATAAGTATCGCGCGCCACAACCGTACGTCTGATGGTTCCAACATATGGTAGGAGCTGAACGTCTCTTGAAGCGTGGTTGGCTTTTTTCACTCGATCTAATTTGTGACCATCTTTGAGGTGTATCGTTTCGAGACAGATTTGCCAGCTTTGGAGTAAAATACTAACCACTTTTTTTAACTCTTCGATTTCATAAGTTACTGAGGTGCGATGCATCTATGGACTCAGTATTTTCATTCTTTCATCAATCTTACCAGCTATTTCTGTGATGTGATTTATGTCCACATCTCTATCCTCAAATGCAAGAATCTGCTGAACACTCTGGAGTAGTCGCTGGAGCCATAACTGATAAAATATACTGCTGTCTACCTTCCTGTCTCTGACTAAACTTTTCATGTAATTTTCCTGCTGTGATATGATCCAGTGGTGTATTCGCACTTCGTTGAGAAGCTGTTCGACCGCTTGTTGGTCGGTTAACGATACGGCTTTTTTAACTCGTCAAATGGCTTTTCAGCATCCGGTTTAGCTAGGACCTCGCTTAATTTATCTGCTACTTCGTTCGGAAGCAATGAGCATGAGTAACCAAATTTATCTCATAAATGAAAATGGTTGGCCAAAAAGTAAATTTCAAGACTAATAAACTTAAGTTGCCTGTCAGTAACCCTTAAACGTGGTATATATAGATTAAGGGACTTCACGGACGCCATTTGTGGAAGACTTAGTGTTTCGTTATCTGAAGACATATACATATTTACAATGAGTTGTACACAGCTCAAATAACTTATGTATAAGGGAAGTAAATTAGACCATAATAATGCTGTTTACAAACGATAAAATTTTATAACACAGAACAGACTTACTAAACCGCAGCAGTATAACAGTTGTATGTATCATCACATTACTTGTGCTTAATAATATTGTCAAAATATGTTCGACAATTAACGTGTAGTGAAAATACGATAATAGTAATCCACCATAATAAGTATAATCCACAGTAATAATTTGTATCGAGGTGGATTCAGTTGATTTGCGATTAAATCACAGAAAGTTGAGTTGAGTTCGTTTGTCAAGGTCAGTAATTTTGTGGTTTTGTTTGTTTCGTCGTTGGTACCACTAATTATGTGGTGGCCGGTGCCTCACTAATTTCGTAATTACTTACTTACTTACGCCTGTTACCCCCAATGGAGTATAGGCCGCCCACCAGTTTTCTCCAACCAACTCTGTCCTGGGCTTCCCTCTCCAGTTCTGTCCAATGTTTGTTCATTCCTCTCGAAGTTGGGCGTCTACGAAGTCCTTCATTCTGTTTAACAGTACCCTGTTGAAGACTGTCTGGTATTGAAAGAAGAGTGATGCCTCTGTAGTTCTCACATTTGCTGAGATCGCCTTTCTTTGGTATTTTGATCAGGTATCCTTCTTTCCAATCTGATGGTACTTGTTCCTCATCCCAAATGTTCTTGAAGAGGATGTGAAATATTTTCGCAGTTGATTCTACATCTGCTTTCATTGTCTCTGCTGGAATGTTGTCTGGTCCTGCTTCTTTGCCGCTCTTGATTTGTCTGATGGCCATACTGATCTCCTCAATCGTAGGTGCGCCAATATTAATTGGGAGGTCCTTGGATGCTGTTTCGATGTTGGTTGGGTTCAGTGAAGCTGGTCGATTCAAGAGTTCCTTGAAGTGCTCTACCCACCTATTTCGCTGTTGTTCAGTGTTGCTGATTATTTTCCCTTCCTTACTTTTCACTGGTTGTTCCGGTTTACGACAGTTTCCGGCGAGCTTCTTTGTTGTTTCGTACAATTGTCTCATGTTTCCTTCTCTTGCAGCCTTTTCAGCCGTCATTGCTAGATCTTCCACATATTTTCGTTTGTCAGCTCTGATGCTCTTCTTCACTTCCCTGTTTGCTTCTGTGTATGCAGCTTGTGCGGTAACTTTCTCCGCTCTTGTTCGGCTGACGTTGATTGCTGCCTTCTTGTTCCTCCTTTCTTCAATTTTTGCGAGAGTAACAACAGAGATCCATTCCTTGTGATGGTGCTTCTTGCGACCAAGGACCTCCTGACATGTTGAAGTGATTGCCTCCTTAATCCCTTTCCAATTGTTCTCCAATGTTGCTTCCTCTCCATTAAGTAGATCCTGAAAGGCCTGGAACCTATTGGTGAGGGCTATCCTGAATTCGTTGAGTTTTACGGTATCCCGAAGAAAGGCTGTATTAAACTTCTGTGATGTTGTCTGCCCCGTTGTCCAGTGCTTCTTTAGTTTCAGTTTCATTTTGGCGATCAGCAAATGGTGATCTGAGGCTATATCAGCTCCTCTCCTGGTTCTCACATCCTCCATGGTCCTTCTGAACGTTTTGTTGATACAGATGTGGTCAATTTGGTTTTGAGTAGTGTGGCTTTGTGAATGCGTTTGTACGGTAATATTGTGCCACTGATGACCAGTTTGTTGAAGGCACATAAGTTTGCAATTTTCGTTCCTTTCTCCCAGTCCATGTCGTCCCATGATGTCTTTATATCCAGTGTTGTCCATTCCAACCTTGGCATTCAGGTCTCCCATAAGAATCGTCAAATCCTTTGGTGAACATTTCTCGACGATTGACTGCAGCCTTTCATAGAATTGATCTTTAACGTCGTCATTGTAGTCATTGGTAGGTGCATAACATTGGATGACGTTCATTGTAATCGCCTCTTTCTTTGTTTTGAAGGATGCTTTAATGATCCTGGGTCCATGAGATTCCCATCCTATCAGTGCCTTTTGTGTATGTTTGGACAGCATCAGTGCAACTCCTTGTGTATGTGAAGCGTTTTCCTCTTCATGACCAGAGTATAACAGCAGTTTCCCTGAAGCTAGTCTCAGTTGTCCTATCTGCTTTTAATGCGTTTCACTGATGCCGAGCACCTCCAGGTTGTATCTTTTCATTTCTGCCGCAACTTGAAATAGTTTTCCAGTCTCCCACAATGTATGAACGTTCCATGTACCTAAAAAAATGGTTGCTCTGGTTGTCAGAAGAGGCATCGGCCCCGTGACTTCCGAGGGAACTCGGCTTTCATCACGAGACGTCATAATTCTTCTTGCAACTCCCAGGGCAGAGTTAAAATAGTTTGAATTATTTTTTCTTGTTAGCGTTTTTTTGGCAGGTGAGATTTCAACGGAATGGGGTCGCCAACCCCATGTCCAACCCTCCTCCTTTACCCGGGTTTGGGACCGGCAGTAGCCCCTAAGGTTCTACTGGCGAAGTTACTAATTTCGTGGCAGTTGTTATTCAATATGTTCTTAGACTAGGTATGTTGCTCGTCCAGACAACCGTTTCTTAATAACGCCTCGCGATTGATAAATCAAGAGACGAATACGAAGTGTTGAATACTTTTAGTTGACACACCACATAGAGCAAAAACCAATGTGCGAATGCCAATGGGCAGGTAAACGAATGAATTGATAAGATTAAAATGTACATGTTTATATGTAGGCAAATGGATTAATCATCGTGTTATACAAATGAATTAGTTAAATGTGTTAATCAAAAGGTTTAACCGAATTGAATATGAACAAACACAAATGTATGTCGTGGGGAGAGGTGTACTGCAAATTATCAGTACAATAAAATATTATGTGACATTTTTCAATTGGATATACCGTCAGGTAATTAGTTTACATCAAGCGTGATGTAAACTTGTGTATTAAAATTAAATCCACTAGTGCCTATGGTAAAATGTATATATTCTCTGCGATCAATTTATATTTTTGTAATATAATATGAGCCAGTTTCAAAGTATCGTTTTATTTATTCTTGAGAATTAATGTAAGCATAGACTAAACTTTCTTGCAGTGTTATTCATTTTGCTTGACTAATTCTTATTAGTTAGTTAAGTGTATTAGTAGTAACTTGTCAATTAATTAGTCAGGCAACCACACAATAATGCATCTACAGCAAATTCATAACTATTTCACTTCATAATTGTAATACATTAAATATTCTTTCAACAGTAGTACCCTCGATTTGTTTTATTTTCGAATACGAAAGTGCTCTTCATAACCGTGCAACCATCAAATAATGTTTCATATTTAATTAAAACAATATCACATTTTAATGAGGCCATACTTTTTAGCCACCTATTTACCTAATTAACAAAATAATTCAAATAGTTTTGACCATGTAATCTCAAATGACCAGTATTCATTATGTGAAATCTTTTTAATAACTGGAATGTTGAGCGTGCAATTTTGCTTCCCATTGCTGAAATATTTTCTAGGTCTTTTATAAACCTATGAAATCATTAAAAATGTTAACCACACAACAACTGGATGATATTTTCCCTCATTGGAATGAGTTGATAGATACTTCGACGGAATTTTATCGGTAAGTTAGATAATTTATTTTCTCTACAGTTATTCATCCACAATACCGCTTTAATGTAACAATACAAATCGCTATCAGTTAACGCATACTTGTTTTATATGTCTAGTCTTATTTCTGAAGTCCACCTTTCTTGATCTCATCTTCTTGTGCTTATATGAAAGCAGAACTTGAACCAATGCACGTTTTTCACTGACCTTTTGGTGATTTACCTGTAGTCATTAGATTTATTTCTACTGTATTGGGGTATATAAACCTAACGTCAACATTTTTTTTAATCAGTTCTCAATGATGATTGTTTTTAAATATTTTAATAGGAACCGAGAACAACAATTGATTTTGATATGTAGAAAAAACAATCATTCAAGTATTGTTCAAGTGAATGTAATCTTGTTACTTCTCTTACTTTTATCCCACAAATCCTAATAGGTGATCGACTAGGGTCATGTATTCGTTTGAATCGTATCAATATAGTTTGTTTTCTTATTTTTTTTCTTTTCCAACTGAACTTTGATTTTTATTTTATTTAAAGGGTCCATTTTCTAACTTTGTTAAAAAGAAATCAGCTAAAATTGGGCCTAGAAGTAAGCACATAGCTATTTCGTCTATTTGTTCATCGTAAATATTGTTGAAGGCAAAATGAATGTTCAGTATTGGAATATTTGTTCCACCTAGTGTAGGCGGGTCATGAAGCTTTGACGAACTTATCGCCTTTTGCTTCAGAATTGTACAATTCTCCTTATCACAAAATTGCAAAGTGGCTAGTGTGAATCTTGAAGCCTCTACACAAATCAGTCAGCTGTCGACTTCATTTCCAAAGTGGAAAATATAATCTCACTAGGTGTCCTATCTATCTATGCGCTCACGTCTAGACCTAATTTACGTTGATTTCATACCATTTGTCTTATTGGTTTTCATTGCAAAGGATAGTTTAGTTTTATTTTTTCAATATTGTCATTTATTCATTTGTTTTTGTTTTTGGTTGTTTCTGCCTGTCCTTTAGTGATTTAAATGATTACGTTAAATCTGGCTCATCGAATCAGTCATTCGGTCAAATCCTTTTGAAACATGTATGTAAGTGTTTTTTTTCTTTTCTTATTCATAATTGTCAATATTTCTCACAGCGAGTCGTTCAATAAATAACTGAATCAATAATAATAATAATACTGAGTAATTACTTCTGAACTTTACTTCAGTCGATACTTGGTTTTGTGTTATCTAGTTAGATGGGAATGTGGAAAACCAGAATAATATAACCCTTTAATGTATGGTTAATCCCTATATCATTATCCAATCATTTATAGCTTTTTACTTAGCATCGATACGTTTTTTTGAAGTTCTGGAAATGTACACTAAACTCTAACCAGTTTTGTTTTCCTCACTTACGACGATGAGCTCTATGTTATGACCTATAGTTTCGCTAAACATATAGTTTATTTTCCATTCCCTGACTCTGTTTATGATTTGCACATATGACTAAGCTTTTGTTTAACCTGTTTTGTTTTTCAAGTGCACGTAAGTTTTACTATGTATCTGGTAGTCCGTCTTACTTCAGACTTGTCAGCTGGATGTACCTGCAACTCAAATTTTATCTTCACTCTGGTACCTAACTCTAGTACTATCCGCTTCAAACGCCATCGTGTAAACTACTGCGGACAGAGACTAATCATTTGAAGTCCTGAGCATCAAGAAAACCAACATAACTAAATTAAGATTCACTGCATCGCACATTCCAGTTGCTGTCTAAACTCGGTAGGCATTCAGATGTATTCATAGTGTTTAAAGCGAACAGTATTGTGTTGAAGTCCTGTAGTGAACATCAACTCTACAATTCAGGTACATCCAGCTGATGAGTCTCAAATTGAGTGAGGCGCTAGCCACCATCTATCTCTGCTTGAAAATACTTGTGACAAAATCGAGGCATCCCACATAGAATGCACATATATCAAACGATATAGACCAAATGCAGTCGCAAACATGAATGCAAACATTCAACCAATCAATGCATGTAAATTAAGTTGATTATCTGTTTAAAATACATTTCTTACTCCCCAGATAAGATGAAACGTTTTTCCATTATTTCATATATCTATCCTCGATTTTCCTATCCGATAGATGTTCCAACTGTGTATTATCAAACTATCTTTTCTCTAAACAAAATATCATTTCCATATTTTCCTTACTCATTTAATATTTCTTCCATCACTGCCTTGGGCTTTTTTTTTTCGTTTACGTTGTAGATGGTTAAGTTTAAAGTTTACCGTCTCTATTGTATTCAACAACCTGTTGCATGTGAAACTTTACAACATTGTTTATCATCGAATTATCGTTTAAACCAACTGGTTAAAATATTTGAAAAAAATACCAAAACCAAAGGTCTACCTCTAGCGTCATATCTGTTAAAACCAATGCAACGTATCACAAGATATAAATTGATCATTGAAAAGGTATATTTTTCTGGATTATATTTAATCAATACACGTTATTGAAGATTTTTTAGAAATAATAATAACCTTAGAATGTGTTAAATAGCGAAATAAAATACTCATTAGATATCACTAACTTGAGGGTTAGTGCTGATATTCACTACTTAAGTGCTGTTGCCCACTTTCATTTACAGTGGAAAATTTTGGAATAGTTACGCGCAGTAAAATCCAAAACGCTTCATTAGAAACTCGTTATCTAAATTGGTCTGCGTTTTAATATAGATTTTTACACAGACTCGAATTTAGTAACCTTCTCTAATGATTCTAGAGTTCTATGCACATAGTTTTCATTCGGATTCATCATCTTAATCCTGAATATCATATCTGTTAAATAAGTACTGCCTATCATGACACTGTAGTCCAATTGATAATGATCTGTTGTTTGCAGCACATAATAATGCGTTATTTTCATCAGCATTAGAATTAAAGAAAACTCAATTCTGCAGTCCCAAAGTAAATAAAACGTGTCTCCATTATTCGACTCGTAGCCATCCAACAGATATTCAACTTTTTTCATAACTTGACGATAACTGTAGCTGTTTCACCGCACTTCAGTATCTTCTAGCAATGCATCGATTTTCTTCAATACTCTATTGCTTTCACCGGCGATTGTTAGATTCGATCATGTCACCCTCAAAATACTTTACTTCGAATCTCTATCATACTTACGCCTGTTATTCCCAAATAGGCATCACCCGCCGATCAGTATGCTCCAACTCTATCCTGGGTTGGTTCGATGTGGTTTACGATAATTTCTAGTGAGCTTCTTTGTTGTATCATACAATTGTCTCATGTTTCCTTCTGTTGCAGTATTTTCCACCGTCATTGCTAGATATTCCACATATTAAGGTTTGTTGTCTCTGATGCTTTTCACTTGGTTGTTTGCTTCTGGGTATTCAGCTTGTGACTTGGCTTTTTCTGTTCTTGATCGGCTGATGTTAATTGCTGCTTTCTTGAAATTTTTCAAGAGTATCAACAGAGACCTATTCCTTATGATGGTACTTGTTGTGATATGTTGAAGTGATCTCTTTGATCACTTTCCAATTGTTCCCCATAGTTGTTTTCTCTCCATTGAGTAGATCGTGCAAGGCCTGGAACCTATTACTGAGGACTATCTTGAATTCGATGATCCCGAAGAAAGGTGGTATTAAACTTCTGTGATGTCTGCCCCGTTGTACAGTTTCATTTTTGCGACCAGCAAGTGGTGATCTGAGGCTATATCAACTCCTCTCTTGATTCTCACATCCTCCATGGTCCTTCTGAACGTTTTGTTGATACAGATATGGTCGATTTGGTTCTGAGTAATGTGATCCAGTGAAATCCATGTAGCTTTGTGTATGCATTTGTGTGTGAATATTGTGCCACCGATGACCAGTTTGTTGAAGGCACAAAGGTTTGCAAATCTCTCACTATTTTCATTCCTTTCTCCTAGTCCATATCGTCTCATGATGTCTTCATATCCAATGTTGAGCATGCCAAGCTTGGCATTTAGGTCTATCATTAGAATCGTCAAATCCTTTGGTGAGCATCTGTCGACTAGTGAATGCAGCCTCTCGTAGAATTGATCTTTATCGTCGTCATTGTAGTTGTTGGTAGGTGCATAGTATTGGATGAAGTTCATTGTAATGTCCTCTTTCTTTGTTTTGAAGACTGTGGGCCCATGAGATTTCCATCCTATCAGTGCCTTTTGTGCTTGTTTGTACAGAGTCAGTGTTGTCCAACTTTCGTTCAATGCGTTTCACTGACAGTAACTCCAGGAGGGTTGCAGGTGGAGATTTTCTGATGCATTTCTTACGGAGGATTGCTTTATGGTGATGAAATATATCATTACATGCAACTGTTGAAATCTGAGAATCGTATTTCTTCAGAATTTGTTAGTTCATTTCATATGTATGCATAGAAGCCTGGAGGATGCTTATTTGAAAATCTCATGACCTTTGGAAACACAATTTTATCGTCGAACCTTTAATAAATGATGGTTTGACTTTAAGTGTGTGTTATAAATATCAACAGTAACGAATGAAAGATAATTACGAGACCGCTATAAACACAGATTTATATTAACTTTCTTTTTGTTCGATTCATCAAGTTTAATTTATCTTTATTTTTGACACTGCAATAGCTTAACGTACGCAAAAGTCAACACTAAATGGAATAATAATTGCTTCCAAGAAAACACAGTTTGTTAGCAGAATATGTACACCTTAATCATCAGACATCCATTTGCAGTCCTAGCAGAATGTTGACTGTCTTCTTTCATGTATCTTTTAGTCTTCAAAACACTTAGATCTCACCATGTATTTCGATCCGACACCCCTCTCTCTGGCAGTAACTTCTGAGCGACACTTCACTGTATACTGCTTAAAAGCTACGTTAAAAGTAGTTTCCACTACAATATGTTGACTAGAAGTGAGAATAATGTTTGACAGAGTATCTGAAACGCAACATGTACAATACAAAACGCCAGTCAAATGAATCAAATTTTCATGACAATTCTTATTCGGTTCTGTGTGTGTGTGCTTCTTACTATTGACTTGATCTAATTATGTAATGTAATGTAATGTCAAAAAATTATATGATATAATTTACATATTTATTGCTTATTCATTTCTTAAATTAGATTGCAACAAATACAGATATTTCATATCCAGACCACGATGAAATTTCCAAAGTGAATAATTTGATGTGTGCACTTTTAAAGTCAATCGATCATGCAGTTGGATCTAAAGATAACCATAATCGAATCGAGTGGTTTCGTTCACGACTGACTGGTGCTGATAAACAGCTTTTAGATTGGCTGTCCAATGATAAACCTCAGAATCCTCGTGACAGACCATGTTTAGTTCATTGTGGTACACTTTATAAAGTAAGCTATAATCTTGTTTTTCGTACTATATTAACTACAAGGACTTCTACACAGTTGATATTTTATTTTAATTATCTAACTGTTTCAATAACACAAAGATTTCTCATTGTCGCTTTTAGGTAACGCTAACTGTCAGAGCTTTCTATCTTGTACTACTTTTGCTGGGATTTAGTTCATCAGTTAGTTGATTACTGTAGTTAAGCTTTATTCATCTAGAAACCAGCGCTCTTACTATTGTATTTCAATATGCTACAACAATCTTGTAATGTCTCTTGTATTGTTTTTTTGATATCTCCATCATGTCCCTTTTAGTTATAAATTTTTCATAATATTCAACGTCTGATGTTACCGATCTATTTCAAGTGGTCTGAGATTGTCTCCTGAGTTTGTTACAGCAATTAGATTGAAATTGAGTGATGGCCTTCCGAGAGAACTACTTGTTTCGTTATGGACACCCAGACAGTATCTCAGCGGACAAACATTTCTATGCCAATTTGTACCTAAGTCTATGTGTTTAGGTAAATAAATAAATTTGCATGTTGATTTTCGATTCTAAATGCAAAAGCGTGCATACGAGGTTAAATAATTCAGCCTTTCATTCATATAAAACTCACTATTTTTAAGTATACATTTCATCCGCATACTATATTGATTAGTTTTTAAAAATGTAAACATTCTTTTTAACGCAAATCTTCCATCGTTTTCCATTTTTAGGCAAAAAACAATCGAGAATTCATTTGCTTTTTATTCAACAAGTATTTAATTTTAACGACACCAAATTATAATACAAATGGACAATTATTTGAATTTCCGCCTACAACTGGATCGTCTGGACAAAAATGGTCTTTTATGATGTATAAAGAACCATTGGCGTTGAATCAAGTGAGTGGAAATTTGATTGGTTCGTTCTGTGTGCTATGTGTATCAGATACTAACAATGTGAATAAATTATTTATTCATTAATCATAATAATAGTGTTTGTGACAAGTATCAATAAACATTCTACTTCGGGTATATATATATATATATATATATATATATATATATATATATATGTATATACACTAAGCATTAGTCCGTTTGTTATGAATATATTCACAGCGAAATTTAAAATTCAATCAATATGCTAGTTAACATGTGAAATATAACTCTGTCTGATACAAATTTCATGATCTATTCACAAACATTCAACTCGCCTGTTTTCCAACCACAACACACATTGCAAATAGCTTACGTGTTTCAGAGTTGTTTGAATTGAATTATTCTGAATGTCAGTTATGTGTGTACTTACGTACAATTAGAAAAAAAATAAAGCGCTTACAAATGAACATGATTTTCAATACTGAGATTGTAAATGTGAGTAAATCTTCCTTATTTATTTATTGATTTCATCACGATTGTTCATTAAACCTAATACTAATCAGAGATTTGCTGTTATACTGTATGGTGTATGGTAAAAAAATTTACTAAACTATTATCATCATCATGATTATTGAGACAGTTTTAACGGTGAACTTAGTGACGGCTTTGAGAGTAATCTTTTTTAAATTAAACTGATTGTGTGAACGTAGGTTGAATATTTTTGTAATTAAGCAAAAACGCATATTTAGTCAGTTAAATTCTGTTGATTGTAATTTGAAAATCAGCTTGATGAATACGTTTCCTGTCTAGACACCTCAGTCATTGGTTATGTTATATCTGTTTTCCTATTGTGACGAACAAATGGTCCTCCTTCACTTCTCCTTCTTTTGACAAAAACAGTGACATATTTGCAACCTACTATGAAGTGTTCAACTTTTTTTTAACATTTTAACTATACTGCTTCGTATATGTCCGAGTACATTTAAACAAAAGTACATTTAACAAAAGGTTAATTGGCGATTTGACGTTATCATACGGTTTGTTCGTAATTTTCAAACAGCAGCTTGGTCTGTCTTGATAAAGTGCTATTTTGTTGATAATTTATAATTAGAAATTTACTAGCTTTTCGAAAATAGGTTGGATAAATGTGTAACGTACTTCATTAGACCTTAGTTTTCATAGAATAAATGATATTTAGCTAACAAAATGTGCATTCCGTCAAAGTTTATCTTTAAGACTCGAACCTAGTACTGTTGGCTTCAAACGCTATCCCTTTCGCTGCTGAGTTTAGATAGCCACTCACTTGTGCCACGGGTATGACCCTGAATTCGATTCGACACTGGGATTCACGTACACCTGACCAACGATTCCTAAATAGCACGAAAGGTGTGTCCTGGATTTGACTGCTAGACACATTCCATTTACATCTATAACTAGGTAATGCTCACAAGATACTCATATACCACGTCTCACTCAAAAATACCATTTATGTTTATTATAAAAGATGAATTATATTTTTTTTTTTCTAAACAGTATTGCATTTATTTTCACTGTATTTTTTCTTATTTGTATACTTCTCATTTTGATTCGTTTAGATTTATGTGTTCAAAGGTTCATTCAGACTAGGTTGTGAATCAACATCTTCAGTTTGTAGTAGATATTCAGTAACACCTAAATCAGCACTATATAACAGATCTACCAGTGATGAAATTGTACGATATGCATCCACTTCTACATTAACTGAATCAACTGAAAATTCAACTGTGAATATTAGACATCAATCAGAGATTGGAAAATATTCAACAGCAAATGTTTTCTCTTTACTCAAACGAAGAAATTCTTGGCAGCCTATAGTGACTTTGAAAGCTCCATCAAATGAACTTTGGTAATCTTAAAACTTTTATTTTGTTAATTTTTGTACCGTGATATTTTGTGTTTTGATGGTGATCAGTAAAAAATGTTAAATTTCCATCCTAATTTCATTAGAACTTTTTGTCAAGTGTATGTATGGTTGGTGAAATCAATGTAAATTAATCTTTGCCATTAAGTTATGACACTCTTACCAAATCAATAATCTGTGAACAAAGTTGGTGATCATGGTTTTTTCATTTGAACTCTGCGAATCACCTCTTGAAATCAGTTCATAGTAGTAAACAGACTGGTAATATTTTAGTATAATACTTTGTAGTTGAAGATCATAAACATTAGTCTAAGTATCATCTCATTCATACTTTTGTTGCTTTTCGTTTTATTTGTGAATCATATAGTGATCTTTGGGTGTCAATTTTGCGAGACCAAATTAAAGCGGAAAGTAATTTGTTAAATACATGTGCTACTTATTCACCATGTAAGTTAACTCTTCTATACGGCTTTGTAGGTTACTACAGGAATAAATACTAGCCTTAACATATATCCAATATATATATATATATATATATTAAACAGTTCTGTTTTATTTTATTCGTGTCTCAAGCTGTCCAACAATTGACAGACAGGTTTAACAGTTGATTTATTTTGTCATGTATCATATTGTTTCAAACAACTCAGCTTAAATTTCGTTCTGATACCATTGCTCTACTTAACTCATTCTTATTTACCAAGTATGGATTCATGTACAATCATCGATACTTTCATTGTATGTAATGATAAACAACAATCAAAATACCAGCTAAACCTTTTCAACGACATTCATAAAAATATTTAGTTTACAATAGAACAGAAAAAAGAGGTTGCCACTCAACAAAGAGTGGATGATACAGTACAACGTTCAATTTATTAAAAAGATACGTGAACTGGTGTTTATCTGAATTTTAACAGCTTTTTTCCAATTAATTACAAAAAAGCACTCATCAAATCACTGTTTCAAAGAATGCAAATACTATGCACTATCGACACAGTAAAGGCAGAATTAATGAATGTTTAAAAATGTTTGAGGAGGAACAGCTATTCAAAGAAATTTATTGTGAAATATGAGACAAAACACCTCAAAAACTACAGCAGGCAAGAACCCTGTTTTCATTTAACTTGAACGGTGACGATTTCGCAGCTGCAATAAACAGAAGATGAAAACCGACTTACCCTGCGACCAAGCTCATTATCCCGTATAAGACAATATGTTCCTTACTCCAATCAAACTTCGTTGAGTACCCCTTGCATGATACCGCCAACCGCGTATGCAAATATGCATGAACCTGCCAAAAGGAAACAGTTGTAAATCTTTCCTCACCATGACGACTCTATCGTTAATTTATCAAGTCATTCCTGCAAGAAAACGTTTCTCTTACCTATTTTGATTGCATCACTTTTTTCGAATTCGTAATTTTAATGACTGACCACAATTGATGTTATTCTTACTCACCATTAATTTATTTTTCAACTAGTTCATGATATAATCAATCTTTTAAATAACTAAAATGATTTCTTCTCTCTGTGTCTAACGATTTAGAATCTTCTCTCATATATTATTATTCATTTGCTACACTTTACATGTCTTTAATCTCTCTACTCCACCGTGATGATACGTACCTTTTTTGACCGTTAAGTGTAGACATTGCAATAAATCTGATTTTTGAAATATAAGTTGTAAGCAAGCTGATGATAAACCTAAGAACTAAAATCAACTCATATTAATTTTCTCTGCTCTCAAGATAATTAAGGGAACTGAATGTAAGAAATATTACATGAACACTGGAAACGTGACGGATAACGTCGCCGTAACCTATAAGTGTATTAATTTGGATCTGGATCAATTTTATTCTATGCTTTAATTATTCTTTTTGACAACCAGGCAGAAATTGCGATCGTATGATATGTATGCAATCTTAACGTGACTAATGATTATATTAATAATTATAATAATAATAATAATAATACCTGTCGAATAGATTGAATAGTCTATATCGTATAGATCAACTCTCAATCTTCTAAATTTTCCCTAGCATGATTAACTTCTTCTTACTCATCAATAACTATGTCTTTCTTTTGATGATTCCTTGATAACATTTATTCCGCTTAATACTGGATTATCCTTTGCTGATGTTTACTTTTTTTATTTGAAGCACCGAAAAATGGGTACCCACAGCATTTACTGTTCACAATTATAAAAGTTTACACTAACTCACAAGGTATGTTTTGATACTTAGGAAAATTAATTCTACATTTTTTTCAATAAAGAAACGCTCTTCCATAATCAATGTCTCACTACATTGTTTTCTTATAATTATTCAATTGTTGCTTGTACTTTGAACCCCTCTCTCAGTTTAAATAGTTGGGATATTTCTAGTACAATTTCGCTATACAAAATCTATACTATAAAAGGCTAGCCAGAGAAAACGAACATACATCTGATGCGTCATATATATTCGACTAATTTTATATTCCAGTTAACTTAATTTAGTTGTGTATTTGTATCAATCTTGATTAAGCAGTTGGACAGCAATGACTGTAGTTACGTGATTTAGGTTATCTTAGTTATGACAGAATGTTTTATCGTCTGTTTATCTAAACATTCGATATTTACATGTATCCAGCTAATCTTCTTAGTCTGATTTTGAATGCAAAACCATTTATTTTTCACCTGACTAATTTCCAAACTTAGAGTTGTACAATACACTTACTTTGGTGTATTTTAAAATATAAAAAAGTTGCTGTTCCTACTGGTATCAGCCTCGTGAGCTACGCTATTAAGGATTGAGAATGTTGCAGTCATATGTATTCAAGTGCATACAACTTTGCTATTTATCTTGGTTTACTGTCACGGATGTGAACATCTAGTTAACACATGAAAAGTTTATTAGGTATGTTGTTTCACCAAACCACAAATGTTGGTAGTTTTATACCATCTACATATGTAATCAAAACTTCATTGGTGCTAAAGTACTGCACCCCAAGAAATTGTTAACAGTCATTCGATCACATAGTTCTAACTGCTTTCTCACTGAAATGTTAATCATGTTAGAAATAATCATGAGACTATGTCAATGTGATTTGGCACAATATCAGTAGTTAACCTTCACCAACCCATTCCATAAGTCAACAACAAAGGTGTTTTGCGTAAAGTAAGGATTTTATGTTCTTCCTGTTAAAAGCGTATGAGCAGTTATCACTTCCGAAGCCTCAAACAGTTGTCCTTTTGGCTCTACGGTCATGACCCTAGGTCTGTAAGACCAACGTTACTTCGAATCCCTTTTCAGGTTCCTCAGGAAACACCCACGGTAGGAGCAGCCGGAAAGTGACATCCGCCCTCACACTCGTAACAGCACACGAGACCGAATCGGTCATATCCTTCCTACACCACCGAACATCTCTTATCTCCAGGACTCACCCTTCTCACATCCTTTTATCACCATGCACCACTAATGCAAACGATTCGAGTTCACGAAGCTTCTCCGAAACGCGCATATGGGGTCCGAGCACAGTAATTAAATTGACTTCATCATGTCCACTTAGAGAACCAACTCTTTTTACATTCCCTGTATCTGGACGCCCTTCTGCCGCTGTGTTGGTGTGGAGCGAAAGCAAGAGAGATGAAAAATGCAGTGGCGATAGGTAATAGTAGACAACTGTTCAAACTTATCTAGGAAATTAGTACTAGAAATCCACCTGTTAGCTAAAGTATCTCAGAAAAGAATGGCCATACCATTCATTCTCAGCTCAGGAGAATGGGTCGATGGACAGAACACTAGGGATCAGTTGAACTGGCCTTCAGCCACACTTTGGTTGCACATGATCTCCAATCAACCTGTATGGCAAGTCGATGTAAGTCCTTCGACTCTTTATGAAGTTGAGCAAGCTATAGGAAATGTAAAGCGAGGGAGAACTGCGGATACTGATAGGCTAACTCCTAAGGTGTTCAAAGATGGTGGTCCAGTTTTAGCAGCAAGATTGACGGAGATCAGGGCTGTCCACCTTCCCCATTCTTATTTAACTTGATCACAGACATGCTTTCAGCGATAACATTATCTTCGTTTAACTTTTCAGTGGTGGACCTTCTATCAGGAGACTCGCTTGTTGACTTAAAATATGCTAATGACATAGTTCTACTTGGGGAAAACGCTGACAAAATTCAGAATCTTCTGATCACACTAATCGACATTGCAAGCATGTTCGGTATGCGGATTTCCCCTTAGACACGGCTCAAAATCATTTGCAATAGCTCAGATTCATCCTCTCTTTGTGTCCCCTCAAATTCTGATCTTCTGGATTCCTCATCACTTCTATCCTTCTAAATTTTTTTCACTAAATTATACCTCTTGAATAATTTCTTCGATCCCTAATCTTTTCTATTACTGCTACTATTTCTACTATCTCTACCACCGTGGGATTTGAATTAACAGTTGCTTATCTGTGCTCATGTGGTTTTGTTACTCGAATTGATGTAAGTATGTGCGAAGTTCTACGTTGTAGCTGACTGACTTATTACTCCAGTGTTTGGCTGAAATACACCTTTATCCATTTCATAATTAGACTGCATGCATCTTGTCAGTTTGTTTATTTTTCTTCGTCATTGTACACATTTTATTTCAGATCAATTTGAAGTTCATTTCAAAATTAGTATAACTGATCAAATGTGGAAATTTTGTCAAATAAGTGCTAATCAATCAATACTAGACTGGAAAACACCATCATCTGAGACGTTAAATTTTCTTATACCAGAATCTTTAGAAAAGCGTTTACATATAACTGCTTTCAAATCATTACCATTTATTAATTCAAGTAAGTATTTTTGCTATACTATTATCTATGCTAATGCAAGAATTCCTTACAAAAATAAACAGAAGATTCTAAATGACTGGATTGCACCTTTTGTATTTTTACCCCAGTCCCCATATAACATCATTGGCTCACAAATTAATTGATGTTTGTTAATTCACATTTTCAAATCATATAAAGACCCTTGGTTGTGTTAGACTAAGTCGATGGAATAAGATGTAAACTTCCTAACTGAGATTTACACAATAATCTGGAATAAATAAATATGGACATGGCTCAAAGTCAATTCGATTAGCGCGAATGCATTCACTGCTTATACTCTATTGAATCTTCAGTTTCAACTTGACATCATAGTTTATAAATCCTCCGTCTCCTCCAATGAATTCACTCCTTGTTCTCAAACCGTATTTTCATATATTTAGGCTTTTTTTCACGGTTTTCAGTGCAATACTATTACTCCATATCTTTTCCATCAACTTCATTGATATAACTTGACCCAAGGTATTAATTAACGTCATCTGAGTCCTATATGCTATTTGAACTGATTACATTTTCATAAAGAATTTATGCATGTAACAATTTTATGATACATATTTTAATATCCTATATATGTTCATTGATTCAATTGACATTTGTTTGTAAAAGTATCATTGTAGTAATTTAATTTTACTATATTACTATTTAGATATAATTGGATCATGTATTATACCATTTTCAAATATATTCACTAATTTCCCACCAAGTTCATTTGAATCATTTACTAAACAAATTGAATTGGATCAATCACTCGGTATGAAAGTGGAATTCAACATTGAACTTACTGTTTAACGATAGCTGATGATGATGATGATGATGAAGAGGAGGAGGAGGGCGACAATCGAATAACACTAATAGTATAATGTATTCATTCAATTCTAATTTACATATTTTAAACAGAATGCTATTTGTTTTTGTTTTTTTTAATACGTACATATGTATATTGTTTTTCTTATGTTTTATTTGAATATCATTAAGTCTTATTTTATTCTGACTAAGCTAAACAATCACAACTATCAACTATCAACTTGATGCTTATCCATCTCTTCTAAACGTATGAGAATACTTGATGATTGTGCTTCTGCTTTGTTTTTTTTTTATGTCTTATTACTTGTACATTGTACTTGGTGTTCACATCATTTTCTTTTGTACTACAATCATTTTTCATAAGTGTTTTACCCCACTGTCAATAGAGAAGTGCACATGCTTCCTAGCTTAGAAAATTTACGTTTATTCCACATCAGTAATAATGGAGAAAAAAAAACAATAATTCCATGCACAAAATTAAGATCTCGTCTTAAAATTACTTTGTCTTATCCATTTATTTTCGTTCTTTTTTTTTGTATTTTATTGTAGCTTCGATTTTTGCTAATAAAATTTTATCAGTGATTCTTATTATCTTTTCTCTGCTTTTTAATTTCAGGGAAAGTTGTTTGTTGTTGAGTGCATTAATTACTGTGAGAAAGAATTGGATGTTTAGTGATTTATACATCCACACTATGTATACCGAGATATTGTTTGATATGACTTCTGCAGTTTTCTTATATTTTGAAACTAATATTTGTGACTAACTGATTATTTGTTAGGAAATTGTTGATTCCTTAAGTTCTGATGTTGCAATATGAAGAAGAGTTATGCTTTTCGTAATAATTGGGCATCATTTCCTTCAGGAATGCTGATGAATGCCAATGTTTCATACTAACTACCTCCATCCACCATCTTACATTCAACTTAGTCCATGTGATATCAAGTCACTAAGACTAGCTAACCACATTCGTACTTGATCAATCAAATCCGACCAGCACTGAGATGGACTTAACTAGCATGATGCCTATTACTACTACTAAGTGGACAATCAATTGCAAACGATGCTCACTAAGCAAATATGTCCACATTATCAATATTACTCATATTAGTATCCACTTTGTCATGAGGTCATTGCACGATATTATACATAAAATGACTCCTGTACATTCGGACAAGTTATCGTCTGAAGACTATTCTCTACAAAATTGGCTATCATTTCTTAGTTTACTACTCATTTTTAACGATTAAAAATACTTTCTTCAAGTGTTTTTGTTACCGCAGAGTAATAGGCTAATAGTGTAGTAATTTCATCTTTCAATCCTTCTTTTATTGCATGTTTATCTTAGCTTCTCACATGAATTGAGTTTCAGCAATCCATTAACGCCATTATTTGTTACATACAAAGAATATAACTGACAGTTGAATTTACGTAATCTTTGCCTAATTATTGTCATGCCTTATTATTATTTACTGATAATTCTATTAGGAAAGTAGATGATAGAGCTATGTAGGCTCACTGATTGGACATATTTGAAGATATCTAGAAAACTGTTGTTTAGTTTTATTCAGCATTTTGTTAAAATTTATTTAATATATCAGGTTGGTTTTCCAGTATGGCATTAACAGTTAGTATAGTAAGTTCATGGGTTTTTTTCGATTGCTTGTTTTTCAGGATCCTGCAATTGTGAAGAAGCTCAATTTAGCTCCAGATATCAGAGATGATTATGCTGAATTATTTCAAATTACACTATGGACTAGCATAGCTTTGATTCTAGTTGTATGGGGAGTTTCTTGGGGTATCTGGAATATGGATCCTGGACGAGACGGGATCATCTATCGGGGTACAACGACAAGACCTAAACAAGACTAAACATTTCCTTTCTGTACTAAGATTAAAGTACACAATCTTTCTAACGTAAAACTCAGCATAATTTATGGATTTATCGAGTGTTCCTAAAGTTTTTGTTTGATTTTCTTCTTTTGTTGTTGTCTGTTTTCTTAATTGGTAAAAATAACCTTTTCATAAATCCACAATATCTTATTCTCTTATCACTTCATTAAAAGTGTGATCAAAATGTCTAGCTTATTCCGTCCAATTTTTTCATGAGTAATTTACTTTAGTTTTTGGCTGTTGTAACGGATAATCATTTCAACATTAAAATATGATATAAATATAACACAAATATATTGTCCATTTTCATTATAACTAAGAACGTTTATCCTGAATAGAATATTATCTTTGTCGAAGTCTACCGTTCAGTTTCCGGTACTCTGGTACTATTTATAAACTATCTTCCAAAATCTATTTGACTTGAAAAGCCAACTCAAAATAATACCGATCGCTCTACTTCTGTGTGACTAATGATTAGTTGTTTGCAACATAGCTGTTTAATTGGTTAGCTAAAATAACCTTTTAAAGTTATTACTATTGAGACACATTGAAGTCAAAAAGCCTTTTGTTCTGTAACTTAAACATACATTTTAAACGACCTGTATTCTACAATGTTCATAAATCAGTGTCATTAGTATTTGTTATAATGATTGTGTAATGGAAAAGGTGAAAGTTTGTCTAAATTAAATATCCGGAACTAGGCATGTAATTTTGTCTGCACAACTTAAAATACATTTCAGCGTTTTTCACTCTTCAAGTTATACGATTTAGGTTATTAATGAAAAGCAGTGAATGAAATTTAACAATCAGTACTCACAAAACACTGATATTCCTAATTTAATTTGTATGGCACAAGAATACTAATCATTATAACTTAAAAAACTTGTAGGAGCCTCATGAGAAAAGCTTAAATTTCATTTATGCTTCTTACTCACTAGGCATAAAACGTTAGGAAAGTGGACTTCGGTTGTCTTAAACTGTCAGTTTTGCCAAACTAATTTTATGGATGATTTCCGAAGTTGGAAAATCTTCAGGTAACGAGTTGAGTGCTAAACTATTCTGTTTGGTTTAATGGGTACTAGAAAATTTGTAGCTTATTAAAACAAACGTTATGCTAACTAATGAAATTAATCACTTCTCGTATGATACAATATCCTATAAACGCAAATTCGATGCTTGTAGTAAAACGAAATGTAAAATACGAAATCGACCATTGGGCGAGTCATTCCAGTCCAATTTTTTATCGTTATACACAATGAAGTGATGAGTACTTCACTCTTGTGGATAATGTTTACGTTAATTCATGCATAATCAGTTACAAACCCGACTGTCTGAATTGCAGGTGGTGAAATTTTCGTTTTATGTAATCGCAGTTCATCCGTTTTTGTATCTCATTGAAATAATTACTATCACACCAGCTGTTCTTATTGGTTGAAACAGATTTTACATAGACAGACATTCTGAACACGTCATTTTACGACTGACCGCTGTTGTTGCCTCATCACCATGACTAAGTTTAAATTTAATTAATTACGGTTCATTGTAGAACAACACAATAGTTATATACAATGTATATAACTATTTCCGAGTAACCAAGACAGTTATCTGACTCAAATAGACCTCAGGTGAATTCAACCGTTATTCCAGTGAATCTGACACTACCTTTGGAACTTAGTACGTACGACTTTTTAAGTTGTTGTTGACTGACTGACCATTAAGTCATTTTTATTTTAGTGGTTAACATTTATCATACATCTACATCATTAAGAAGAGATGACAATACCCATTCTTTGGGTCAATTATATCAAGAAGTTAGTTTTTTTGAGTAATCATTATCTGGTCAGATTTCATATCAGCTTAGCCTATCGACAGCATGTCCAGGCACATGAGAAACGTTCCTCCATTATCGAAAAGTCAAATTAATAGTATTACCAAGGCCCTAATTTTCACCATTTATTTCAGTGCTAAGACAACCGTAATGCTCATCACTGCAAAACAAGAAAACACCTGAAATGATCAAAAGTATGAGAGGTTTAATATTTTGCGTGATTGATCCTATGTTGACACTTGATTTTGATGGTCCAACAGTCATGTTATGAAGGCTCTAACCATTTTCCATTCTTATTAATTGGGAACATACCATAGTGAAAGAAAAACCACTTAACTCTATAAATAGCTGAACACCATGTATACAGACGTTTAACACTTCGGAGCTCATATCTAGGGTTGAAGTGATTTAATCTACAAAATTACAATATGGAGGATATATTACTCATAAGTAGTCGTAGTAATATACCAACTTTCTACTGCAGTAAAATTTCGTTATTTTCTATTTCTCAATAAGATCTATATAATCCATCCTCATATGCATGCTATACTTGTCATTTGCATAATAAACGGTTATGACAGCGTAAGCTCTGACAAAAATTTAAATTCGTTCAGTTACTTCAACCATATTTGTAAAGAAGTGGTTTTGAATCCACCATCAGACAGCATTGGTCCACTGTAGACTAAGAAACTTAAATCCAAAGTTTCCTGTTGACTACCCACAACCAACTAGCATCCGAATAGCGAAGGAATCGAAATAATGCGGCAGTTATAATAGTGAGAAGAGTATGCATGAGGAAGTGCTGGAGCTTAAGGCCAAGAGTAGGACAGAGAATGAATTCATCTGCTCCATTATGACTGGTTTTGAGCCCCGGTCATCATTTACTGTCCAACAAGTCAATGCGATTTTTAGCAATACAGAGGAAAGTATCATCAACTAGAGAATTAAGTTGAGCATTATAATACACATTAAATCAATTTACAGAAAGCAAAACACGATACGTGTTACGTAAATGTCCACAATATGCTATATTACCAAAGGAAATATACAGTCAATTTACATTTCTGGAAAAAGATGATGGCTACGTTAACGTGTAGAAAATTTACAATTTGAACAAAATATAATTCGAAAAAATTATGGGTCTATTGTCATGTCTGTTCTACCATATATTATACATTACATAACATACGCATAAATTTATTGTAAACAAATTGCTTCTTATGTACAAACTTCATAAATCCTGCATATAATTTGTCATAAACTAACAAGCTGTTTGTTATTGAACAATAAAACAGAAAAAATCACATTTATCCCGTCTAAGTAAAATAATCAATTGACAATTCAGTCTATTTCAGAGTCTTCAGTTTCTTCTATTACCGATTGCTAAGAAGAACACAAAAAAATCAACAAATGAAATGTGAATTTTGTTCAAGTGAAACATAATGTAATATTATACTTCCTGTTCATCATATATTTTTTCTTCAGACTTAAATATCTGTCAAAATTGAGACCATATCATTGGTGTGGATTGTCTAAAAACTCGCCTACATAATAAATCGAAATACAATGCAATTAATTTTCTGAAAGTACACTATTTCTGGAAACTAATCTTATTAATTTATTGTGACATTATCTATGCCGTTATATAAATGTTCTGAACAAGCATTTGTGCTATCAGATTGTTCGGATTCTATTGCACTAATCTTTATCTTCTAATTACACTATCCAAAGACATGGCAACCTAATATCCAATCCATATATTTAAAAAACCTAAAGGTTAGCTAAACGAATGTAAGGTAGGATAAAACAAAGATAACCAAGAAAATTATGTGCAAAACAATCACTCCAGAAATAAATCAGTATTACCAGAGAAGGTTTAGGATGAAAATAAACCATTTTCGAAATACACAATGTATTTTTGTCTTTTTATGATACGATCGAAATTTATCAAACGGATTAACTGCTTCTAAGTTTTAAAATCATTTTAGTGAAATAGCTTGAAACGAATCCATTAAATCTGATCTTTGTTTTAACCTACTTATAATCGATAATCTTGCGATTTTAATTACTCATCTTATGTAGGAAACTATGTACGCGATATACATGGACCAAGTAAGATGCTAATTGTCAGTGTATAGGGTTGTGGAGATTGCTCAGTTTGACTGAAACCATGAAGTGATCAGTGTTGCCAAGCTAGAACATCGGATGGCCGTTTTTTACTGGTATGGGACTCACCTGCAGTGCCTGTCCACAAACCCCAGTGTGGATCGAACCCAGGAACTTCGGTACCGCGTTCAAATGCTTAACCTACAGACCACTGAGCGGGCATCTGACGTCGTCAATGTATAGGTTGAACCGATTTACGATACTTTCAGACCATCTTCCATTGTCCTCGGTGGGTAAATTACTTCACGTCCTACACGTTTGAACTTCACTGGTCAAAACTTGACACCAGAACTTCGAGGATTTCCTCATGAAGCTAGTCAATAGTGAGCATAATATATCACATGATAGCTATCAGTTCAGGAATATTTTCCTCGAATAGCACTGATAAGGGTCTTAAAAACCACTGTTGATCCCTCCTTAGTTCTCAATAGCTCTCCAGCTGATGAAAATTACATTTAAAAGAAATCAATTTATTATCGATGCTCCTCATTTGCTTGAAACAATTTTGAAGAATGATATATATATCTTGATCAAATCACGACATTCATATTTGTTATAATCATAAATTAAATGACCATTCACATATCAGTTTAAATCTTCAAAACCTCAGTCTTTATTACACTTCTCATTACTGTTCGAAGTTTGTTTTGATTTTCTCTACTAAATATTTACTAGTTTAATTAATTCATGTTCCAAAAACTAATAACCTATTAAAAATCAAGATTTTCTTGTTTTAATTAAATATTTCAATTTGATATCATTGTAGAATGTGCATAACAAAATAAACCAAACTCTCATAATATCATAGCATTCTTAAAAATTTATAGTTCTTGTAAAGTGGAAAACTATCATTAAAATGACGAATAAATTATGAGTCAAATTATCGCATATCCATTTCATTTCCGTGCTATTTACAGTTAGCATAAAATGCACTTAGTTGGTATTTCGAAGCTAAACAAAAGAATGTGATTGGTGTATATAAGTCATAACTAGTGATACTCCTCAAAACAATAAATCTGTAATAATTCCGAACAATAGTGCTGTAACAAATGAGTGAATTTTCATAATTTGTGGCAATATCCAATTATATTCTTTATTTTGTCTCCCTCTGAAAGGGTTGTTAGTACCTTCCAGCCATATAGACAAACGAAACATTATTTCGTTAAAGTACATTATACAGTAGACATTCATATTCTTGAAGAATATCAAAAAACTCACCCAACCACCACGTTTATACACCCAATCTGCATACCATCGTGTAAAAAATGTAATTGTATAATCTTTGATTCGGCCTATATTTGCTCTGCATTGGCCAGTATCACGAATTATTGTATCGTATGTTGAATTCAATGAATATAAACTACATTGATGAGGCGATTTACTTAGTATACGGTAAATAGGTTAATGAAGAATTTGTAAAGAAAATACAAACAGTCTATTATGAATTGAACAACAATTATTATTCAATTGATTGTAATAAAAATTGTGTGTTTTGTATGAAATAAAATGCTTAAAATTTATGACTCTTCATCTATCGGTGTTCACAGTTTCATTGTTTTCGAAGAGAAAAAACGATAATTAATTACTCTAGAAATTCCTTTTTATCAAGCAGATAAATTATAGTTTACAGACTTGCTTTATCATAAACATTTAGGACATCAAAAAAAATGTGTTACTCAGTAATGAAGTTTTATGGTGCATTCAAACCCAAAATGTTTGCTCAAATATCACTAAAAGACTAGTGTTCATCGAAAATCGTGAAGCGAAACATCAACCAATTCTTATTTCTTATTCGATGAAAAGTGGCGTACACTGAGTCACGGACGTCAGAAAATCTCATTGGGTTACTATAAATATATTATTATTTCACAATAAACAAGAATAGCACATGTAGATACATTGTTTCTGATTTGCTGACTTACAACTAATAGCATTATAATGAATGTAAACAGCACATCAATTATCATTCATTTTTTATGTGCACGGTGGTTGTAAAAATTGGGTTTCGTAGTTTACATCACAAACTAACCTCAGTTAGACAACCATTGAAAACCAGAAATCAATCGACAATCGTCTCATCCTAGTATAGATTTCCTCAACAGGAACCTCACTGGGGATCCACTGTAGGAATTTCAGGTGCCACAGCCTGCGCTTACACGTTAGACAAGTGGTTAACAATTCTAACAATTTGATATATTTTGCAAGTATTCAGCAAAGTCAACTGTTGGATAACTTCTCCATACTTTATATGCTTGAACTCTACTAGTTACGGCTTCTCACACCAAAACATCGTGAATTACATCTCGAAATCACTTTCTTGTGAGTACATAATAATTATTTATCAGTGTGGGGTTTAGAATTTCAATTTTTACATCAAGGGTCAAACCGAGTTGAACAACCGTTATAAACGATTTGACACCTGTTAAGTGTTCTTAAGGTTAAGCGCTCTCCATGAGACCTGAACACCTGAGACGTGGTCCTCGGTGTGGTCATGAGAGCGCACCGCTGTGGTATCTCATTCTAGAACAAAATGGTTGTCCAGTGCCTTTTGGTTTTTCCCTAGTTTTCCAAGGTCAGTTCGTGATGTAAACTTCAATAGCATTTCAGTCAAGCACCTACTTACTTCGTTCGACACTCGAACAGTAGATCCGATTGGTAATTACCACAACCAATTCACTTCCATATTCAGTGTTAAAGCGGAAAAAAACTTAATTCGAAGCTGTAATATATAGCACTTGTCAATCGAAGAATGTTTGCTTGCTATAACCTTCCGTAATTTAGTCGATAAAAACTTACAACTAATACTGAGTCATCAAATTTATCTAATTCGTATAAAACAACTTACCTTCTTGATGATTGTGTATGATTCTCATGAAGTTCCTCACTATCTGAATCGACAGTTAATGATATTGTTGTTGATAAATTTGAAGTCGATTCTTGTAATGTTTCCATCCTTTGAATATGTGAATTTAATATATGTCTAACTGAACATCTAGTCAGGTAATAAAGAATAGCGATTCTATGCCAGTTTGGTTGTCGACCTAATAATTCCAGGATATCAGCTTCGAAACTTGGATAAGTTGTATGATTTATAAGACGATTTAATAAATCCTCTGTTATGATCAACTAGATTGAATAATAGTAAGATTAACAGTCATAAAAAAAGCAACAGCCTTGGATAGAAAATGTGTTCTGTGAACAACTGAATTAGAAAACATACAATCATTACAGTGAATTACAGAGAAGTTCCAATTTTGCAATAAACATCCCAATAACTTGTCATATTTCATTAAATTCTATGTAACTAACTAGTTCATCTTATCTAAATGATCAAATGAAGCCGTTGAGAATACCATAAATAAACGATCATTCACGTTTAAAATAGTTCAAGAACCCAAATCCGAATGAATTAAATAGTTTCTAAGCTATGAACAGGTTGAAAGAAAGCTAGAGGCTACCAAACGAAGATTCAGGATCACTTCATAAAGTTATTGACTGTTCGTCTGAGGCATTCTCACAAACGCAAACCGTGTGATAACGGTAACAAATGTCTGCAGACTTCGGGTGCGGCTGTTCAGAATCATTTTCAATAGAGTATATGTGTTTACTGTTTGCCTTCCTCTCAATCTTCAATTCCAACATTCCTTCATATATATCTTTCGCCCTGTTTCTTTATACGCTATTCTGAAATTTGAGTCTATTTGTCGTCATAGCAACTACACTTTTCGGATCACCTTTGCTAAACATCTTGTTGATTTTGTCTCATCTTGAGTTGGTATATAAGTTGATGATTATTAAGTGACTAGAGTTTAGATGAATATCAGTACCTCGGTCACACAAACACAGAAAGTAGTAAACTGTTGCGATTTTATCCGAACTTCTACATGACAAATGACAACTTCTTAACTTAAAACATTCAAATTTGTGGTATATAAACGCATCGAAGTTTGCATATACAGGAAGATGATAAAAATTAATTAAAACTTACTTTGTTTCGAAGTTGCAATCGTTTGACTTGTGCTAAACAAGAATGCTTCAAGCTACATTGACTTAATTCTAATGATGATGTATTATATAGATCTGACGGGTTTTTTGTAGTACAAAAATCAGATACAGAGTGGCATCGATTTTCTAGCTTCTCTGTTTCCGTCGTATTGAATAAATTTTCATCTGATGATGAATGACCACGTGTCGCATGTTGCAAAGAATTCGGACAACGTAAATTTTCAAAGTCATGACTAACCGAGCAGAATTGTTCTTGTTTAAGAGATTGAACATTTTTTTGTTTAGCTGCTTTAAATGCTTCTGCTTCTAAAGTTTGAAAACGTAATTCTAAATCATCTTCTGATATCTTTCCCATAAGACGTTCGGACAAAGCATCAATCATAGCAGCAATGTATTTAGCATACGGATAATGTGTATTACGATTTGTTGACTGATTATTGGAATTTCGTACTTTTGAGTCATTTTGAAGTTCAGGGGTGTTTGAAGAATTCTCTGTCTTATAGTTTTTGATATTTTGTTTTACTGAGTTTGACTGAAATTTCATAAACATATTAATACTACATATAAGCTAAATGCCCCTTTATTAATTGTGTAAACAGTTAGTTTGAGACCACTGTTTGACAAGATTAAACAAACGAATCTAGTTTGAGAATTTATAATAAGATGAAGATTAGCAGTAAGTAAACAAAATTACTCAACATTAATCCAGTCAGATCTTGACTTGCCAAAAGAAAAAGCATCAGTAATACACTGATTTTAATCATCAACCAAATCTGTGGTGTTAAGAAATCAGTCATCACATTAATATGACATCATCGGATCTGATATGTTTAGCGATTAAGTCTTGTAATCCAAAGGTAGAACAGAATAGATTGATAAAATTTTATACTCAACACTAAACCATTTGATAAATAAACTTTTTATGCTGATGTACTTCCGGCATTCTTGACTTCTTTCATCCTATCAGTGAAAGTGAAACTTATGACTGTTAAATAATTATTATCGTTATGTTGACTGTATAATTTTATCCTAAACGACGTTGGAATGCGAGATGAAAAAAATTAACCAGTACACTAAGTAATTTTAATTTTTACTTCAATCATACTGAGTAGTTCTTAACCACCCATTTCTTAAAGTTGTTAGAGATCAAAATGTTTCTTACTACTTACAAGGAAACAATAATACAGCAACGTTCAATACTACGAACTGGGGTATTTACACGTATGAATTAATCACATTTTGAAGTGTGTCAAGTCGATTAAGTGCCGAGATAAGACAAGAGAATAAAATCTACATTCAAACGGAACCCATCATATAGGTTTGTAAAAAACAGAGAATAAGTACTATTACACCAATGTGACCGCCAACCTTAACTCATGACTTTTGGTTTCTTTCAAGAAAATCTTATGCTTAAACATACAGAGTTCCTTGACAAAATCTTCAAATTACTGATTACAAAATTTAAGTGACATGTTACCACTTTAAGTTCATAATTCTTGATGAGCTTATTTGTCATTTTAGTTATCTGTCTATTTACATACTATATAACGAACGTCATAATTATATAACTTATAACAACAGTTTTTAAAAACATACTAGTAGCTTTTAAATATGTTTACGATCGATAATTACTACAAATTTCAATATAATAAATTGACTTATTTAACACACCTAAAAGTGTAGAATATGTGTCATACACAAAGCGGGTTAGACATCCGATACTAGTTTTGGCAGAGATTTGAATAGTCACAATTTACTAACAAATAGTCGGGGAGGTAGAACCGCAAGAAGCCAGTACCATACAGCATTTAACTCATTGTTACAATAAATAATATCACCAATTCAATGAATCAACTACTGTAAGAACAACAAGACTGAAGAAATATTCTAACTTACAAACAATTCATTTTTTACTAGAGATCTCTTTTTCTTGATTCGTTTTCTAAATGATAATAGTATCTTTTAATGTTTAATAAGTCACTTTCCTACTTAACACATGATTTCATCTGAAAATCTTAAAATATCAGTAACAGAATATTCCATTGTAGGTGAATCTTTTGATACAGAATTATATGTGAACTTATTTAATCACTTACATTAAAATTCCAATTAAAAGACTGTCCAATAAATTTAAAATAAAAAATTGCAATTCAGATTGTTTGCGAAACTTCCAAAGTTACACTGAAATACCCATGTATGAATTAATTATTAAAATTCTTACAAAGACTGCACATTAGTTTTCCGTATAAAATAATACTATAAAAGATATTGGTCAAATAATTAACTATGAGCCAAAGTAGTACTTCACTGTCACGTCATTTAAGCCAATATTCGCAAAGAATACCTAGAGTGATACAGTTTGATCAATACTAATAATCAGAAAAACAAACTAATCTTATGATATATTATGCTTAATTGAAGTGCTTAAAGGATAAAAATTTAGAGTTTGTGAGTTTGTGGTAAACTGCCAAAATTACGAAAAGTTAAATTTATGGGGTTCAAGGGTAAAATGTCGAAAACATTTCAGATTTCCTATTAACTAGCACATAGCAGAAAAATTCATAATATATGTAATCAGTCAATAAGTAGGAATCTTTCTAGATAAAACCTTTACGTTAAATTCGAAAAAACTTTCATACTAATTGGAAGGTCATTTGTTGGCCGCTCAGTTTATTCGTGCATTTGCATCATTCAACGAATAGGAAGAAGATAATTTGACATAAGTTAAGTTAGAAATTATTAAGTAAATGATCTACCTAATAGAATATTTTAATTTATTCAAATGAGTGTGTCCCAAAAAAACGAACAAGCAAGTTTACATTAGGTATTCTGCTTATTGATACTTTCCTACTGTAAATTAATATCATAGGTGAAAAAAATAAACAAATAATACGCGACTGTAAGCCAAGCGTTCGGTGCAAGGACTAGCAATACTACCTGGCTGATTAAACTGAAGAGTAGTTGTATTTTACGGTTTCACCGATTGATAAGTTTCGATTGTAAGATCTTTTAGTATTATCGTATTGTTTTATGTGTTTAGAATCTTCTTTCTGAACAAATAAGCTCAGTCAGTCAGTCACATGCAACGTAGAACTTCGTACGTAAGTACATCAGTTCATGTCGCCATACCACATCAGCAAAGAGATGTAATTGTCAATTCAAATCCAATAGTAGAAGAGGTATTAAAGGTATTAGAAGTAATCGGAGAGGTTAGGATTAGAAGATATTATTCAAGAAGTATGATTTAATGAGAGAAGTTTAGAAAGTCAAAACTAGAGTTGTTGAAGAACCTAGAAGGTTAGGATCTGAGAGAACATAAAGAATAAATGCACCGGCGCCATTGCGAACGATTTTGTGCCATGTCATTCAAGGTCTCTAACCATCGATTATTATCATCTCGCGGACCCCAACCAGGTAGTCGACAGTTACCGACATGGCTCAGTGCACTAGTCAATGACTTCATGGATTTCTGCCATGTTTTGATTTGGCCGCCCCTAACTTTCTTCCAAGCTATTCCTACACTACAAAACAAAGCTTGACGAGGCGGTCGGTGGTTAGGCATACGCAACACATGTCCCAACCACCTCAACTGATGAAGTTTCATTACTTCATCAATTGATCTGCCATTCTTACTTAGCACCCGTTTTCTAATAACAGCGTTGCTCATTCGGGTGTCCCACGATATACGAGCAATGCTTCGAAGACACCTATGATTGAAAACCAGTAACCTACGAATATCTTCTACTCTCACTGGCCATGTTTCACAGCCATAAAGTAAGATGGGGCGAACCACTGCACAGTACACTTGTCCTTTAGTCAGCAAACGGATATCTCGCCTACGCCATAAGTGACGCAGGTTGGCAAAAGCCAATCAAGCCTTCTGTATCCGCGCTGAGATTTCGTCAGTCACCAGGCCATCCGCACTGATGAGACTCCCAAGATAAGTGAAGCGGTCTACACGTTCGACTACTTCACGCCCTATCACTAGTTCAGGTGCCGATGAAACCCAATCTTGAAGCAACATTTTGAATTTCGAGGGAGAAAACCGCATCCCGAACATGCTTGCATTGTTGCTTAGGGTGGTCAGAAGACTCTGCATTTTGTCAGCGTCTTCACCAAGTAGGACTATGTCATCGGCATATTCTAAGTCAATAAGCGAGCCACCTGGTATAAGGTCTACTCCTGAAAATTCAGACGAGGATAAGGTTATTTCTAGGAGCATGTCTATGATAAAATTAAACATGAATGGAGAAAGTGGACATCCCTGACAGACACCACTTGAAGTAGAGAATTCCGATGACAGTTCGCCATAAGCTCTCACACGACCAGTGATGTTCGAGTAGAGAGCTTGCATAAGGTTAATGTACTTCTTTGGTACACCTTCCAATGACAGACACTGCCACAGAACCTCACGATCAACAGAGTCAAATGCCGCTTTTAGGTCAAGGAAAACAACTATTGTAGGACGCCTAAATTTGTGTCTATGTTCCAGGACCTATCGTAGTGTGAAGACGTGGTCTATACAACTACGTCCAGGTCGAAAACCAGACTGGTTTTCTCGAGTTTGCTCTTCACGAGCTTTCGTTAGGCGCCGAAGTATTATTGAGGCCAATATTTTAGATACTATATTATTTAGACTTATTCCCCTGTGATTGTCACAAGAAGACTTCTGTCCTTTCTTATAGATTGGGACAATCAAGGATTGAGACCAGTCAGATGGGATTACGTCCAGTTCCCAGATTCTACCTAAGATCTCAGTCAACCTAGCTGATAAAACTGGACCACCATCCTTAAATATCTCAGGGGTCGGTCTATCAGGACCTGCAGCTCGTCCTCGCTTCAGATTTCCTAACGCTTTCTCAACGTCATTAAGACTAGGGGGACTTACGTTGACTTGCCATTCAAGATGACTGGAGATCGTGGGTAACCGAAAAGTGGCTCGTGGCCAGTTGAACTGATCCCTAAAGTGTTCTGCCCATCGATTCAGTCTCCTGCATTGAGAATAAATAATAGTCCCATCATTTGCCGAGATAGTTACACTTACACTAGGATTCCTAATACCAGTTTTCTTGATAAGTCGGAAAAGTTGTCTACTGTTGCCGATCGCCGCTGCCTTTTCCATCGCTTTTGCTTTCGCCACCCACCACTGTTCGCGATCGTTACGTAGGCTTTTTATAAGTCTGCGCCTAAGTTGACTTTGTTCTTCATCATGTTCACAGCCAGGTGGGATGAGTTTTCGGGCATCCATCAGATCAGTGGATGCTACTGAGATCCATGGCTTCATTCTAGCCTTATGGTCAAACTTACTGGCAAATATCACTGCTGTTTCCACAGCCTTCTTGACATCATTCCAACATGCCTCCGGATGGGAATCGCCTAAATGGTCGCCTAACTGTCTTTCTACTTGTTCCTGAAATATATTCTTCGCCTTATTATCATTAAGTAAAACCTTGAGAGGCTTTCTTACGGCGTCTTTCCTACGCCCAGTAAGCTTCAAACAAATACGCGCTCGCACTAGGGTATGATCTGAAT